GCCATTTTCGGATCCATTACCCGGAAATAAGGCGTTTTCTCGTCGTTCTGGCCTCCAAACACTGTTTTATGACAAGTATTTCGTGCTTGCAACAGTATTGTGACTGAAAACATCAGAAATCGTGAGAAAATTGAGGCAAACCCGGTGAAACTACAGTTTTTTTACTGAAACACGGCAATTCAAGCCAAAAAGCCCCAATAAAGCCAAAACAACCCGCTCGGGGTGATAATTTGCTGTCTACCAAGCCTACCTATCGCTAAAAAACGTTTAAAAGGCATACAAAGCTTGAAAAAAAACCATTTTGTGTAATTCTTTCCTCTGTCCATACGTTGGCGCTTTTGTCGTTGGGCGCTTTCTGGCATTGGGCGCTTTTGCTTTGGCGCTTTTGTCACCCTCCCCATCTCCTTGTAAGGGCAAAAGCTAACACGCGCCGACGCGGGTCGTCTTTTTTCTTTAAGTTTTTTTACCCATAAACGGCACTGGATTGCCTCCTCCGGGTTCACTTATTTGCAGGTCAAATGGTGGAACCTCAACAACTACCCGGCACTTCTCGATCGACCAAATTGCCAATTCTTTTTCAGGCCTTCGCTATATCGCGACGTTGATTGGATTGGGTAGGTGGTTCCTTCCTTCCTAATAATAAATAATAATAACCAGATAATTCCGGGTTGCTACTTCCATTCGTGGATCCAGACTTTCGAATTAACGTAGATACCAGCGACATCTGATGAAAATAGCCGAAAATTAAATTTAGCAATGAAAAAAAGGCTGGGTTAGGTATAATTTTCCTCACCGTGTCCTTTTTACCTCGCTGCGTCATATAATAGTATCGAAATGTCTTTGTAAATCCGTCTCATGCGGGTAAACATGGTTTACGAAATATACAGGCTGTCCCAAAAAAGCACCCCTCCGGCATTTCGCCATATTTCCCGCCATCCGATCTGTCCCAAAATTGGACCAGGGGTGTATCAGACCCTAAATAACCACAATTCGGAGTTATAGCCCGATCTCTACTGTTCACGGTGTCTTAGAGCGCGCACGGAGGTGGGGACGGGCATGGCCTAGTGGTCTAAGGCGGCGGCAGGCGCGGGATGCTGGTTCGATTCCTCCCCTCGCCTAAAGACGCGACACCGTTTTGCTTTTTTTGCAAAAGTTTCTACAAAGCAACGACAATAAATCTTTAGCGAATTCCAGGTAGAAAATTGGGCAGATGGGACGGTCCCGAGGCCGTAACCAGAAAAATTTTTGATTTTTGCGTCAAAACGTTTCAAGTCCCAATTTTTCCCGGCGATCGCCCAGATTCTTTGACCAAAATGTTCCATAGAGTCTTCTCTATCGATCGCCAGGTGGAAAATTTGTAATTCTTTCTGGAAAAAAAGTTATAGCCTTTAGAAAGCTTTTTCCCATACATTTTGGGGACCAAAAGGGGGCGTGGCTTAGCCCAGTCCCTCCCGTCCCCTCGTGCGCGCTCCAAGTAAGGCCTAAGACGCCGTGTGTTTCTATGCCGTTTTCAACAGCTTTTTGGCTATCTTTTTGGACTTTACATCGATTCGCATCGACTTCCGGCTCTGAATCCCTTTTTTAGCTTATGGCCCGTGGTGATTTTTGCTTGTAAAATATGTTGAAATAAGCGCTTATTTAGCTAAATTCTTGTAGGAAAAAATTTCTAGGGGTAAAGCAACCTACCGGCATCATTTTCACTTAATATTCTAAGGGTTGATTCCGACGATACCCCCTATGAAAAGCGCCGTATAAAGTTTATTTTTGGTGTATCTTGGAAAATTACTGTAGCTGGCGGGCTACAACTCAGGATGGTGGTTATTTAGGGTCAGATGCACCGCGGCGTAATTTATTAAGAAACCAGCGCCCAAAACCCGCTTCGCGGGCCTTGGGCGCTGGATTGCGGCCTCTGCATGAGAAATTTGACTTTCCTATAGCCAGGGTCCTGCGGACCCCCACACCGACCACACGCGCGCGTGCAACTCGCAAGAATGAGGACATTTCTATTTTTCACTTTATGCAAATTAGCCCTCAGGTACCCCCCAAAATGAATAAAACCGGCTTTAACTTTGTAAACTTGTATTTTATCAAAATTCTGAGAACGCCATCGGAAACAGAAGAGGGCTTAAGTGCAGTTTACCCCCCCAGCCCAGCTCCTCAGCCATACGTCCTATTAATGCGCCGAGTATCTCAAAATGTTCGCCATGGTCGAAAACCCCTGGAAAAGTTGTTTACTTGCGCCAAAAATTGTCAGAAAATTTTTTACAAAATTTTGAAAGTTGAAAAGATTAAGCCGCTATGCATCAATGTACCAGGAGTCAAAAACTCAAATATTTCTGTTTTCCGCTATTTTTTTCGACCCAAGCGTACTGTAGGCTTATTCTCCAGAGCAAGAGCTACATTTTCGTACCATTGACAGCTCTGTACGACTAAAGATAGCCGAGATACGAAAACTCACTTTGGAACAGCAAAAATTAACTAAAGAAAACCCAGACTTATAATTCTTATAAAAAATTTTTAACAATTTTTGGCGCAAGGAAACAACTTTTCCAGGGGTTTTCGACCACGGCGAACATTTTGAGATACTCGGCGCATTAATAGGACGTATGGCTGAGGAGCTGGGCTGGGGGGGGTAAACTGCACTCTAACCCAGAAGAGTCGATTTCCCCGAGTGACGGAGAATCAGGGCATTTTATGCACGGGAAGGCCCTCAAATCGGGGCTCCAAACTGACATCCACACACACAAAGATACACGCCAAAATTATATAATGTAGGATACTACTTAATAAACGTCTTATGATATTATGCGCGACCATATAGTCACACGTTTTCAGAGATCTCAGCTGGATTCAGTGGGTGCCCCCCAAGGTTACGTACGCCGTAAGTTACAACAAATTTAAGCAATCATACAATAAAATTTGCACAACCGGAAAATCTCAAATCCTTCGTTGATTTCAGCTCTATTTGGTGGGGCCTGACGACATGGAGCCGGAAGACAGCCACACGTTCTTTCGAGCGACCTTGGAGAAGGTAGATCGATAGTTTCCGGAAGAATTTCAAGCTCGCTTCGTGGGCTTTACAATGGATGAAGTTCGAACACACTTCTTTCAGCACCATGACGTGCCGGTGCTGCACCTTCGACAAAGCTACAACTCTCCCACGGAGTATATCGTTGCTATGACATATATCCCCGAACTAATCAATGCCGCCACAATAAAGGTAACCCTTCGAAGAAATTGTACATGTTTTTACCTTTTTCAAGCACAAACCGGAAGTTGACAAACGGCGAATGATGTTCATCGAGACGCACCAAGAGTTCGAGCAGCCACGACTGGTATGTTCTAAAATCCAGGTATACCTGGTAGTAATGTAGCATAGCTTGTTTCGCGAGTGCCTTTAGCGAATTAAGATATTGTAAGTGCAAAAAGCATCCAGAAAACAAGGAAAATGTTTCAAAAATTTGAACCTAGGTCGAAAAATCGCCATTTTTCTATTTTTCAAAAATTTGTGAAGTGTACGTATCGGAATAGTTGAAAAACATCTAATTCCAACATTTTGCATGACTCTCACTATAGTGCTGAATATTATTAGCGGAAAAAGACGTTTCAGGCCAAAAATCATAAAATGCGGACCGCCTTTGAAAAGACGCTGATCACGGTGACAAAGTTGCTGGTGGACGTGCCGAATTGCCGGCTCTACAGCATCAATCTAACACAGCTACCTTCTACCGCTACACATGACCGTTTATGGTTCAGCTGTTTCCTTGTCCTACTCCAGAATTATGAACCTGGTGTTGGCGAGGCAGAAATCCACTGGGCCCTAAGACATTCTAGACCACGTGAAGATAAATACACTGATCCAGACTCCATCATTCGCCGTGGAACATTGCCCGAATTCCGGGTACAGCTTCGCTGGAGTTCCGGCCAGCCGCCGCTTGATGACCAGAATTGATTCGTTTCTTGACTATAATTGGAAAACTGTTAATTGTCACGGGATAATAAATAATTCCCCGCCCCTTATCGCCAAACAGTTCTTCCATCACATTTTTGTAGCCCTGACAATAAACTGCAGTGATGATCGTTCTGACAAGACACAACATTCATGGTGCACGTTTTTTGCCGCCAAAGTGGGTTTTAGTCATCTTTCCTAAAAGTCATCTTTCCTAAAGTCATCTTTCCTAAAGTCATTTTCCTAAAAGTCATCTTTCCTAAAGTCATCTTTCCTAAAAGTCATCTTTCCTAAAAGTCATCTTTCCTAAAAGTCATTTTTCCTAAAAATCAATATTTCCAAGTTGAGTTTTTCGCCAGAAAATTTTTTTTGGAGAGGCCTCGGCCCTAAAATTTTATGTCTCTATGACGTACTAGCTCTTTTCGGGAAGTTTTGATTAAAGTTATGCTATCTTTGAATTCATAAAACTATTCAGAAATCAAAAAATAGGATAGGCTCCGATGCGACTAAGAGCTTTTATGAAGACTGACGGCCTTCAAGACATTTGGCCGTTTCTACACAGCACGCTGGTTTCAAGTTAGGCGGAGGCGGCATCCCGATTCGCATACCTGACTTCAGGAAAAATTAATCTTCGAAAAAATGATTTTTAGAAAAAAGTGACTGAGGAAAAATTATAGTAAGCGATTACCTAGTTTTAGGAAAAATGACTGTTAGGAAAGATGACTTTTAGGAAAGATGACTTTTAGGAAAAATCACTTTTAGGAAAGATGACTTTTAGGAAAAATCACTTTTAGGAAAGATGACTTTTAGGAAAAATGACTTTAGGAAAGATGACTTTTAGGAAAGATGACTGGGATTCCGCCAAAGTAGATTCGTTCATTAATCTTCTAGTAAACGTGCGAAACTGTATGTCGCAAACTACAAAGATAGGCGCCTCTAGCAAGTTATTGCATATGCGTATCAATCTTCGTGTCTTTATTCGCAACAAAAACAACAACGAGACAGAACTATGACAACAAAAAAACAACAAACTAGACTTTTGTAAAATTCATTCCGTGTAGAAGCAATTGAGGATGTCTTGGACCGACTGCGGGTAGGCTTCGGGGGCGGAGGGCTGAAAAGTGCTATTATAAAAAGGCAAAAAAACGGGGGTTATCGAAAAATAAAGCAAAAACAAACCGTGGATTGCGCTACACTTGTTGGAGCGGTGCCCTTCTTTTCCTTCTTCTTCTTGGCTCGTTCCTTCTTTTCCAATCGCTGCTCCAGTTGGCTGACGAAGGTCGAACGGGCGATCCCTAAAGAAAGGTTTTCCTGAATTTTGCCACGTACTCACCATCAGTGCTTTTCGTAGCAGGTGTCGTTTGCGTTGCCTTCGGCTGCTCATTTGTCTGTGATTCCTAAAACATAAGATTAGGCCCGTTATAAGGCAATAATCATACCTGTGCCAATCGCAGCCTCTTTTGCTGCAACTTTTTCGACCGCTTTGTCATTGGCACCTAAAGAGGGCAGGCTTTACATCTGATATAGGAATCGTTTTACCTTCACAATATGAGTCGCGTCATTTTCGGCCATCTCGTCCTCCGTAAGAGCCACCTCAATATCCGGCGCTCCACCGTCAGACTTTTCAAACATGAGCACCATGGTTCGGTTGCGCTTCCGCTTCTTGGAGTTGAAGTTTTTCTGAATCATCACTAATGGCCCTAAAAAAGCAAATACCGTTTTCTGCGCTAGTCGTGCTTGATTCGCTCTATTCGTCTCGTCCTCCAGAATCTCCAGCTCATCTTCGGTGAAGCTGACGGCCAAGTCGGCGGTTCCTTGAGCATCGCCGTCTTGGTGCAGAGGCCCCTTTATTCCCTAAATTTACAAAACATCAACCGCTTAATCCCTGGAACATACAAAATGAGTCGCGTTCTTCTCGTTTTCCTCCATCTCGTCCTCGGTCAGGCAGATATCCACATCCGGAATTGGTTCGCTTGTATTGTTCAATAGCCGCCGGTTCTCCCGAGTTTTTTCGTCGATGTGAAGGAGTTGCGATTCATCGTCGACAGTCTCCTAAGAGCAAATTAAATAAATAAAAACCAGGGTTGAAAAGCCGCTTCGCGACTTTTCAACCCTGACCCCGTCTTATTCAATAGGAGTTCTCAATTTGCATAATTCTCGCGAACCACAATGCCAAAAATGAAAAATACGCCCTCGGCCTCTTTATATAGGCTTTTCTCACTTCCGGCGCATGCTAATTGATTTCTAACAAAGCGGGTGACCGAAATCCTACTATATATAAAAAAATAGTGTCTGTGTGTGTGTGTGCATTTGCATGCAACTTCCGTCCCTATGTTCCAGTCGTATCTCGATAATGGAAGAAGGGATGGGTACGTTTGATATGTCATTAGGTGCGTAATGGCCCTGCGATGCCTGCACAAATATCAGATTTTAGAAAATAAGCTGTTTTCGACATTAAAATTCAGTTTTTCATGAAAAATCGTAGATCCTCTTTGTTAGGAATCAATTAGCATACACCGGAAGTGGAACAAGCCTATACAATGCGAGAGAGGGGCTGTTTTAATTTTTTTTTGACAAGGGAATTCGTGAGAATTATGCAAAGGGCAGAATATGATCGGATCAGACGGGGCCAGGGTTGAAAAGTCGCGAAGCGGCTTTTCAACCCTGGTTTTTACTAAAAACCTAATTTTAATATCGAAAATAGCACTTTTTCGGCGATTTGACATGCGTGCAGTGGTTCCGAGACCATTACTCATCTAATGACATATCAACCATGCTCTAAAACCCTTTCTCTATCGAGATACGACTGGAACATACTGACGGAAGTTGCATGCAAAGTTACACACACACACATACACTATTTTTTTTTTATATATACCAGGGTTGAAAAGCCGCTTCGCGACTTTTCAACCCTGGCCCCCGTCTTACCCCCCCATACTTCGTCACATGACATAAACACCTGAATTCCTGCGCAGAGAAATTAAAAGCGCGTCCTCTCCGCCGTTATATAGGCATCCCCCACTTCCGGTGCATGCTAATTGATTTCTAACAGAGAGGCTGAGCGAGATTTTCACAATAACTTAATTTTAATATCGAAAATAGCTGATTTTTAAAAATCTCATGTGCGTGCAGTCGTGTCATTACCATTACGCACCTAATGACGTATCATACGTACCCTTAACTTCCTCCCCTATTGAGGTACGACTGGAACATACGGACGGAAGTTGCATGCAAATGCACACACACACACACACACACACACACACACACACACACACACACACACACACACACACACACACACACACACACACACACACACACACACACACACACACACACACACACACACACACACACACACACACACACACACACACACACACACACACACACACACACACACACACACACACACACACACACACACACACACACACACACACACACACACACACACACACACACACACACACACACACACACACACACACACACACACACACACACACACACACACACACACACACACACACACACACACACACACACACACACACACACACACACACACACACACACACACACACACACACACACACACACACACACACACACACACACACACACACACACACACACAAACACTATTTTTTATATATAGTAGGATAGTAGAGATGTTTTTATTCAGATACGATATAGGAAATTTTGCATTTAAGGCAATTTGCATATCGTATCTAGATTCAAGCCGGGGCAATCGAGATACGATTATCGCCGCTGGGGTCGGCGAAGCTCAACCAGATACGATATCGAAATAACATTTGCATATCGGAATAAGCAGAAAGTCCGTCATTCCCGTGAATACTTACTCCGTACGGTCTGTCTGCATAAAAAAGCATAAGGTTAGGCGTTTCCGAGAACAGATCATTCGATTTGCATCCATTTTATCGCCTACCGAGCGCCCTAATTTCCCTTAATCCGATATGCAAAAGTTATTCCGATAGTTCGTATCTCGGTGGGTCGGATTCCAATTCAGATACGATTATCTATATCGCATCTAGGATTTTTCCAGACATGGCAATTCCGGGCGGCCGGGCCTGTAATCTAATTTGCATGAAAAAATCCCCCCGCTTCCAGGCCCCGGAAAAATATGCAAATTCGCGGGGCCGAGCCCGGGCCCGGCCGAACTCTTCCGGGGCCGGGCTCGGCCGATTCGGCTCGGCCCCGGAAACTAAATAAGCTCATTTGCGTCTAAATTCCGATGCTAAAACGCAAATTTGCAATGAAAATTTTAAGTGCGTTGGTCCAGTTAGAGCATCGGTCTTGGTAAAATTCATTGAACTTGTTTAATAATTCGTCCCAACCATCAAAGAGTACTAAAATACGGGTCTGAACCTGTTCTGATCTGGCTGGAGGTGTATGGCAGCCTTGGAAAATAGAATTTTTTCGAATTTGCATGGATATTTTGACTGAAAGTGATTTACAACCGGGATTTCTAATTAGCGTGCGGCCTTGCGGCCCCGGGCTCGGCCCCCATTTTGGCTTAACCCGGGGCCGGCGAGAAAAGCCGAGCCCCGGCCCCGCCGGAAGTGGGGCCGAGCCCCGTCGGCCCGGCCGCATGCAAATTTTTGGGGCCGAAAAAGCCCGGGGCCGGGCCCGTTGCCATGTCTGGATTTTTCTATTCCGATAGATTATTCAAATGCGATATATCTGGATGCATATCGTATCTGAATAAAAACATCTCTAATATATAGTAGGATACGACAACTGTCAATTCAAATAAAACCACCGCACCTTGACAGGCTGGAGAGAGCGGACGCGCAGCGAGGCGACGTCATGAAGTCTGGGCCGTGCCAGAGAATCTGTCAAACCGAGCAGGAGCGGACGGACAGCCGATGTCGGGCACAGAACGCAAAGCCGGCGAGCAATCTAAAGCACCCATAAGCGCAGAAAACAATTTCTTACATGAACAGGCGGCGGAACGTTCTCATTCTGCGCGGTCAACAGCGAGGCCACGATGATGTGCGCCGCTTCGACGCCGGGATAGCGCAGCGCCCATTGACATGCGACACGAGTCACTGTTTGGAGCACCTACAAGAAAGGTAGTGACGTTAAAGTCCAACAATTTTGCCGATTCTTACGCATTATCGGGGATGGAACAGAATTTTCTCTTGCATCCAATTTTTATAGTATTAATGAAGAAGTGAATAAACCATTCATATAAGTGCTTACTGTTTTTTACTATTCGAAAAAAGGCAAAAGCGTCAAAAATACCAAAGAATCTCAATTTCGACCAAAATTTGGAGTTTTACAGTATTTTAAACTTTTTCTGAATAGTTTTCCACTTCAAATACGATCGATTTTCACTAAAAACACGTATTAAAATACGTTATACTAGGCATTTTTGGCATTCTAGCCAAAGATTGGGTCCCCCCGATAGTACGAAAGTACCATTTTCTCTGAAATCGTTACCTCAGGCTTCACCAAATGACCACAGCGCGTGATGATTTGCGAGACGGCATAGGCCGCTTCGTTTTTGTATTCCTGAAACCGCAAAGTGAATGCTGATGCCGGAGAAGCTTGGCATAAAAAACTAAACGAACCTGTTCGTGTAGCAGCTGCACCATTGAAGCCCAGATGTCAAAAAGGCGCGTCTGGAGACCCGAAGATGGCCCGTAGAGCTCTGCGTATTTGCCAATGCAAGCGAAAAGTGCGGCCGAAGGAGTGTCCAGGTTTGATGTCTGAAAAAAAGGCTCTTCGAGGTTAAAAAAACAACAATGAGCCAAAAAAGCGCGCAACTCACCAGCAGAGATACAATCTTTGGCACCAGGCTGAACAGTGCCGCCCCAGAAGCTTCGGCCAATCGGGTGATGACGCCGAAAGCGAGAGGTTGCAACTCCTTCTCGCGCAAAACCTGCGCCAGCGTGGCGATCAGCTCGTTCAGCGGCACCGATTCCCCTAAAATGAAATAAATAAAGTTTCCTGGTTGCTCACAAACCTGGTTTTGCCTTGCCCAAAATCTTCGCCAACAATTCCAGCAATGTTTTGGCCAATTTGCCACGATGCGCCGGCTGCCCGAGCACTTTCAGCTGGAGAATCTCCGACTGATCGGCTTCCTGGAAACAAAAATATTAGTAACAGCTCTCGTGCTCACCGTAGTCATCCGCTTGCTGAGCACGATAGTCAGCGTCTTCAGGATTCGAGGGATCGCCGATAATCCATGCCTAAATACTCTTAGAGTAAAAGGAAAACAAACAAAAACCTGAGTGCAAATGCCGCCATCGCCACTTCTTTCCCTTGCTCGGCAGCCTGGCCCTCATTTCGCACAGAATCATCGAAGAGGTCGAGCAGGACAGCGTCAATCGTCAGACTGTGGTCTTCGATCGTTTTCTGCAAAAATAAGTTTTTTTCAGTAGGAATTTGGCCGTTGCTACCCTCGGATTCCTGAGCAGCAATCCCATGATGAACAGAGCCGACGATGTGGATGCTGTCTGTCGGTGCATTGTCGACACTCGTTGCGTCAACCAGTTGCGCGAACTGAGAAATGAGGCCGGGGCTGAACTAAAGCAAAGTCCTAGTCGTTTTTCAGCGACACCAAAGTCTTGCGATCTGCTAAAGCTGATTTAGTAATTTCTGAACAAGCCCTGGCTTTCAAAAACTCTGCGCAATAACGGTCTTCGACAAAATTTGCTCGGAAAGGGCGGATTTTGCCTGCACTTTTAGGGATTTTTCCAAGGATTTGATCGTTCAGCTGTTTTTCAGAGTAAAAACAGAATTTGAAGCGCTATCGAATGGCCCATGTCACAACACTAGGCTACGATCAGACGTACTTCCGGGTAGCAAAAGCCAGAGCCGTCCAGAGCAGCTCCTGTTCCAGATCGTTCTTCGGCGTCAATTTGTGAAGCGCGTCGAATGCTGCCGACTCGATTTCGGGCCGGCCCTGCTTGAACTTGGGGAGTTGCTTTAGTATCAGCGTCTCCATGGCTAAAAAGCATTTTATCAACAAGATTCGGCTTCGTTATCCCCATAATTCAAAAGGCGATATGTTTAACGATAGGACAAAGCAGTAAACTCAAAAGTTCAGTATAGGTATGGACTTATTTCATTGGTTTATTCTGTACATGTCAAGAGGAGAATCGATCTGTTACAAACCAGTTAAATCAATAAACACACTGTACAGGAAATATCCTCTGTTCTCTCAGCACTGTTTTACTAAAAAGAGTTGTTCATCTAGGCGTGTTCCTTGCGCTGCTTCCTGTGAAGAAGACGCCTAAAAGAAATTTATGAAGAGAGCTATTCACTTTACCGTTCTCGCTCATACTCCTTGATTCGCATCAAATGGTCCTCGTATTCACACTTGTCCCAGGCGCCGCGCTGGTCGTCGCAAGCGTGGCCAGCAAACGGCGCGTTCTTCGTCTAGCAAAAAAATCATCGTCTCTTGTCAACCTTCAATTCCTGACAGCAACCTCTAGCCTAAAAAGCCTACCTGACACTTCATCAGGTCAATCAAGTGATGCGCACAATAATCCCGCTGTCCAGGCTTCAACCGGAACTGCTCCATGTCTTCCCAAGTGGCCTTCATCACGCGTTCCTAAAAAAGAATCAGTGCTTTCAGGTTAACGGGCGGGGGGAGCGGTTGACAATTTTTTTTGTTTAGTCTATGCCTGCCTGGTGATCAATTGTGGTTTATATTAATAATGTTTTTAGTATTTTCCGAGTCATTTATCCTACAGTCATAAAAGACAATGTTAGAGCGCGTTTTTAAAGGGATGCCGACGGCATAGTCAATCGATTACGCGCGGGAAAGAAAACGTCTCTGCGCCTCTCCCCTGTTGGCTACTTGCCAATTTGTTGATGAGGGGGGGATCGACACATGCCGTCGGCAGCCCTTTAACCATTTTCATAAACGTTAGACCGAAAAAGCAAAAATTTTCAACATGTATTATGACGTTTTTCTTAATTTATCCTCCCCGCTAACAGTCCACAAACACTTTAAACGCCGCACAAGTCTATACAAAACGGTCAGCTTTTAATTAGCCGAGCCGCACGATATTATAGAAACAAGTTCGCAACCACCCCCGCTAAAATAACCCCCCGATAACCTGGAAGCACCAATTAAATGTTACAAAGATGCTGAAAATAGCAGTAACCTTTCGCGGGCGCTCCAGCTTGCGGATCGAAGGTCGGAGGGCGCTCGGTTCGCGGTGCCGCCTCCGGGGAGCGATCCTCTTCTTTTTCCTTCCTCTCGGCTTTCCGCCGCGAATACGTCCAGTCCTGCGGGCAGTGCTGAATTGGGCCTTCATCCCGGAGGTGCCGCCGCCACCGACGGTTGAGGGGTGTTCGATGGGCTTTTGGCTACCTATATAATCCGTAAAGGATATAGCTAAGTAAATTTACCTCCTTTGTTGGTGACGCCCGTGCTAACGCTAGATACGGTCTTGGGCGGGCTGGCCTCACTCTTCTTTCGATAAACACCCATCCGGGTGTAGGTAGGGGCTTTCGCTTCGGACAGTCCTGGGATCGTACGCTGGGAAGGATTCGGGGCCTAAAAGGATGATATTAGCTGAGAGACAATAATTCGACAACGACGCCACCGGAAACCGAAAAAGGCCAAAGCCGCGAAAGCCCAAAAATCACCCACCAGGAACTTCACAAGGGCTTCTCCAGCTTCGTTCTTGACGGGGGATCGAGCGATTCCCTTCTGTACCTGAAAAAAGGCCATGAAGAGGCGAGTAAGGAGAAGATTTGACACCATCAGCAAAATGTAAGGAAGAGATGAAAGCTTCCGGGTGGGGATCGCAGGTTGGCCGTCTAGCTCTTCTGCTGCATCTAATCGTCACCACCCGACGATTCATTCCAAAAAAGCAAAAGCATCAAAAAATATTATTAAAAAACCAAAAATTCTCAATTTCGACCAAAATTTGGAGTTTTCAAAGAATTTTAAAGCTTTTTAAATAGTTTTCCACTTCCAGGCCCGTACGGGAGCCGAGATTTCGGGGGGACTAGACTAGACATTTTTTGCATTCTAACCAAAATTCGGTCCTCCCGATAGTATGAAAGTACCATTTTCTCTGGAAACTTTTTCTGAATAGTTTTCCACTTCAAATACGATCGATTTTCACTAAAAACACGTATTAAAATACGTTATACTAGGCATTTTTGGCATTCTAGCCAAAGATTGGGTCCCCCCGATAGAACGAAAGTACCATTTTCTCTGAAATCGTTACCTCAGGCTTCACCAAATGACCACAGCGCGTGATGATCTGCGAGACGGCATAGGCCGCTTCGTTTTTGTATTCCTGAAACCGCAAAGTGAATGTTGATGCCGGAAAAGCTTGGCATAAAAAAACTAAACGAACCTGTTCGTGTAGCGGCTGCACCATTGAAGTCCAGATGTCAAAAAGACGCGTCTGGAGACCGGAAGATGGCCCGTAGAGCTCTGCGTATTTGCCAATGCAAGCGAAAAGAGCGGCCGAAGGAGTGTCCAGGTTTGATGTCTGAAAAAGAGGCTCTTAGAGGTAAAAAAACAACAATGAGCCAAAAAAAGCGCGCAACTCACCAGCAGCGATACAATCTTTGGCACCAGGCTGAGCAGTGCCGCCCCGGAAGCTTCGGCCAATCGGGTGATGATGTCGAAAGCGAGGGGTTGCAGCTCCTTCTCGCGCAAAACCTGCGCCAGCGTGGCGATCAGCTCGTTCAGCGGCACCGATTCCCCTAAAATAAAACAAATAAAGTTTCCTGGTTGCTCACAAACCGGGTTTTGCCTTTTCCCAAAATCTTCGCCAACAACTCCAGCAATGTTTTGGCCAATTTGCCACGATGCGCCGGCTGTCCGAGCACTTTCAGCTGTAGAATTTCCGACTGGTCGGCTTCCTAGAAACAAACATTTTAGTAACGGCCGTGGCGCTCACCGTAGTCATCCGCTTGCTGAGCACGATGGTGAGCGTCTTCAGGATTCGAGGTATCGCCGATGATCCATGCCTAAATACTCTTAGAGTAAAAGGAAACAAACAAAAACCTGAGTGCAAATGTCGCCATCGCCGCTTCTTTCCCTTCCTCGGCAGCCTGGCCCTCATTTCGCACAGAATCGTCGAGGAGATCGAGCAGGACGGCGTCAATCGTCAGACTGTGGTCTTCGATCGTTTTCTGCAAAAAAAGTTTTTTTTTTCACTAAGAATTTGGCGGCTGCTACCTTCGGATTCCTGAGCAGCAATTCCATGATGAACAGAGCCGACGAAGTGGATGCTGTCTGTCGGTGCATCGTCGACACTCGTTGCGTCAACCAGTTGCGCGAAGTGAGAAATGACGCCGGGGCGGAACTAAATCAAAGTCATAGTCGTTCAAAGCGACAAACAAGGCTTGCGATCTGCTAACGCTGATTTAATAGTTTCTGAACAAGCCCTGGCTTTCAGAACCGCTGCACAATCACGGTTTTCGAGAAAATTTGCTCGGAAAGGGCGGCTTTTGCCTGCACTTTTATGAGTTTTTTCCAAGCTTTTTATCGTTCAGCTGTTTTTCAAAGTAAAACAGAATTTTAAGCGCCATCGAATAGCCCATGTCACAACACCAGACTACGATCAGACGTACTTTCGAGTAGCAAAAGCCAGAGCCGTCCAGAGCAGCTCCTGTTCCAGATCGTCCTTCGGCGTCAATTTGTGAAGCGCGTCGAATGCTGCCGACTCGATTTCGGGCCGGCCCTGCTTGAACTTGGGGAGTTGCTTCCGTATCAGCCTCTCCATGGCTAAAAAGCATTTTATCAAGAAGATCCGGCTTCGTTATCCCCATAATTCAAAAGGCGATATATTTAACGATAGTAGCAGTAAACTCAAAAGCGCAGTACACGTATGGACGTATTTCATTCGTTTATTCTGTACATATCAAAAGGCGAATCGATCTGTTACAAACCAGTTAAATCAATAAAAAGCACGAAATATCCTCTGTTCTCTAAGCACTGTTTTAATAAAATGAGTTCTTCATCTAGGCATGTTCCTTGCGCTGCTTCCGGTGAAGAAGGCGCCTAACAAGAAATTTATGAAGAGAGCTATTCACTTTACCGTTCTCGCTCATACTCCTTGATTCGCATCAAATGGTCCTCGTATTCGCACTTGTCCCAGGCGCCGCGCTGATCGTCGCAAGCGTGGCCGGCAAACGGCGCGTTTTTCGTCTAGAAAATACATAAATCATCGTCTCTTGTCAACCTTCAATTCCTGACAACAACCTCTAGCCTAAAAAGCCTACCTGACACTTCATAAGGTCAATCAAGTGATGCGCACAATAATCCCGCTGTCCAGGCTTCAACCGGAACTGCTCCATCTCTTCCCAAGTGGCCTTCATCACGCGTTCCTAAAAATTAATGTTACAAAGATCCTGAGATTGCCAGTAACCTTTCGCGGGCGCTCAAAGCCAGCTTGCGGATCGAAGGTAGGCGGGCGATCGGTTCGCGGTGCCGTCTCCGGGGAAAGAGCCCCCTCAAGCGAGACGGACAGCTTGGTGCCCATACCTGAAAAAAGAACCTTTTGTAATTCTAGTTTCGAAAAACAAGAAAGATAGAAACAACTTTTTCTATAATAAAAAAAATAGATTTTACAATTCTTTTCGCCAAGTCAACGGATGCTGTCCCTTTCCCCTGCGTAAGTGTGGATAGGAGTGCTGCGTTGGCGCCAGGGGCAACGGTTTGAGCAACTTTGAAAGAGTGCGGAGGGGAGGGCCCAGACGGGCAGACGTCTGACTCCCTCCTCCGCACCTTTCAAAAGTTGCTCAAACGTCGTTGCTCAACTGTCATGGTCCCTTGGCTTTCCCTCCCCTCCAAAAAAGCTTTCCGCAAAAAGGCTTCTATTTTCCACTTTTATTTCGGTAAAAAGATGATATTGGCGTGTATTTCTGACATTTCCCATTGGAAGCCAATGGTTCAATCCTTTATTCAAATCACAAAATATGCAGGCAAAGTATCAATGAGGGCCAATACCCGTGGGGGAGCTTGAAAGGTGAGGTGAAATAGAGTTATTTCCGAAATTCTCGATTGACTAGTCTTGGACGCGGCTCTTGACCGACATATAGGGCCTCAGATAGAGCCACCAGTACTGAAAAGGTATTGGTAGTGATATACTTTCCAGACCCTTCCCGTGCCCCCAAACTGGCGGGCAAGCGCTAGCATGCATAGCAGAGATCCGTGGGGATCCTCCTAATAATTTGCGCACCCACCACAAGGTTGAAAATGATGAAAAATACGGGGAATAGTGCCCTGGAGATGAGGTCTATGCGCCGGCTGTTTTCGCGGTACTTCCGGTGCCACGTGTCGTGCCACCAGGAGACTTTCTGAAATGGAGTACGATACTGCACAAAATACGCCGACAGCACTCACGGGTTGCCGAGGAGCAGACGACGTGTGCTGGGGGTTGGCGAAGATTATTGGGGAGTCGGGAGGGACGGAAGAGTAACCGGGTAGCTCATAGTCAGCGCCGGTCCTGAAGGGAAGTGCAAAATGGGATCCGAGTGACTTGTGAAGGTTTAAAAAATTTTAGACCGTTATTAATGTGAAAGTCAACCTACAATCGATGAAAGAAATTGCTCGATCGCCGCCCTCGATTCTGGCACAGATCCTTGCGCGCCGCCCAGTTGACCAGCGCGAACTCGAGCAGCGCTCCGAAGATGAACGCTGGAAACGGTAGAAATTTTTCCTAAAGCTCTGTGACAGATCGCTTGTTAGTTGCCGAAAACTCACCCAAACAAACCCCGATCCAAATGTCGATGGCTTTCGTGTAGCTGACTGGGGGCAGATTTGCGTTTACGCCGCTCGCCTAAAGTCAGCACAATTATTACCAATTTTTTGAGCAAATTTAGCTAATTTTCACATGGTAACACTCGTTAGAGACCTTCAAATTCTCTAAAAATTTTAATTTGGGTCGAAAAATCGATGTTTGGAATTTTGTGGTTCTTTCGCATTTCGGGGAAACCAAATTGTGTGGATCTAGAAACACGTATTACCTTAATAGGAAGTATTTGATACTGTTGAACTAGAGCAATATCTAAAACATTCAAAACGTCGAAATTTTCGTCAAAAAGTTTTAGTTTTTGTCAAAAAATCGTGTTTTTTTTGTATTTTTGAATGCCACTTTGTAAAGTTTTACGTTTAGGGAGAGTGAAAAAACAGTTTAGAAGCACTTCCGCTATTTATATTTGAAAAAGGGTCCTGAGAAAAAAATTTGGTCTTCCCCGCCAATGCGAAATAACCTTTTTTTATTATATTAATAGGTTTACGTTTGGGAATAGTAAAAACAGCTTAGAAACACTCTATGATTATTGGAATTGTTTTTGTCTTGATTTTGATTATCGAGTTATTGGCACCTGAGTGGTCATCGTCAGCAGCGTGGTCACCCCCAGGGTTACACGTGCGGGCACCGAGTCCTTGTCGAGCCTAGAAAGATATTTTACAGGCAATCGAAGCCAAGATTTACCAAAAAGACACCCAGGAAACGGCCACCAGCATAAAGGAAGGGATGTACAGCTGCAGCAGATAGTAGGAGAACTCGCGCTTCAACCCCAGGATAGTACTCAGGCAACTGTAGACACCTGAAAAAACGCCTATCCCAAAAAAAACCCAGTCTGACCGGTATTTGTAACCGATGTACAGTTTCCGGTTGTCACTGACGATAGCAGGAAAGAGGGCAGCGACAAGCTCAAGCCTTGCTTGATCTGGATCGGCGACTCGTCTTTCCATGTATATTCTAAAGCATTTTTTAGATCTTTTTTTTCCGCCCACCAATATCGTCGGTGGTGTAGGCGTAGGACGCAAAATCGATCTTGCACTCTTGCACTGAAAAACGGTACTGGACTGTTAGCGGGAGGGGGGTTATGGCGGGGGAGGAAACAAAAATGTTTTCTTAGGATCGATTCTCATTTATACAAAAAGCTGAAAGGTTTCTAAGCTGTTTTATGCTATTCCTAAAAGTACAACTGACAAATTTTTACTAAAAAAATACAAAAGATATCGATTTTCGCCAAAAAAATGGCCGTTTTTGACCAAAATTTACCTTTAGAAAACGTGTTTTGAACGTTTTTAAGATAGTTTTCTCGTTGAAATATAGTTTATTTTATTAAAAACACTCTTAAAATACGGCCTATTAAGTTCCTACGCATTTCTAGACTTATACAAAAAAATTTGCTACCCTCCCCCGATAATGCGAAAGAACCTATGATTTTTGTGATAAACAGATAAAAATCATCAAAATCAAAAATTCAAAATTGAATTTCCTTAGAATTTGCATGACTTTTTAGTGATCAACACGCGAGACCCGTGGGGGAAGAAGCGGGGGAAGAACTTTCGCCCAAGCCAGAATACAAAGGGAAGGCAAATGTTTATAGCACCGAAGAACAAACACAAAAAAAAAAATAAGTAGCGAAAAACAATTTCGACCCAAAAAACAAATGGTCAAGCGCGACAAAAAGTTTCCTATAAAATAGCCTGGCTAAAAAAAGTGAAAACACTTTATATTTGATACTATCCACCAGGGCCAACAAAAAAAGGCCCAAAAAACCGAAAAAGTTGGGAACTAAGAACCAAAACTACTAAAAACGATAGAAAGACAATGTAAGGTGCTAAAAATTGTTTCTTGTAGAAAAAGATGATGCTTGAAGGGCAGCTAGCTCCGCCTCCCCCCCGATAACAGTTCAGTACCAAAAAACCGATCTAAAACCATGTAAACACAAACCATCTAGCGGGTAATTGGACAACCGCATCGGGCAGGAAAGGGTTAACGTCAACCGCGTGCTGTATAGGATTCGACCCGTTCCTAAAATCGGCAAAACGTTAGAACGTATACAATAGGTAAAATCACCGTTGAAAACACGTATCAAAACGTTCGGCGTGTCGATGTCGTGCTTCTTGCCCTCCTTTTCGTTTTGAAAGAACGTGTCCGGCATCTGGGGATCAATTTTTTGATAAATTAAATTTGTAAAGATACCCAAATCTTTTGGCCGGGTGAAAGCACGATGTGGGAAAGACGATCGGACACGAAGAAAAGGCGCTCGTCCACCCATTCCTCTCTAAAAATGCGCTTCTGCATTAACGGGGGAAGATTCTTGGTTCTCTAGGACCGAATTTTCTAATATAAATAGAGCTCTCTCTCTCTCTCCCCCCCCCCCCCCCCCCCCCCCCCCCCCTTCAATAAAATTATTTTTATAATCCCGAGACGCAAAATTTAGAATTTTCTCGGAAAAATACAAAAGAAACGATCTCGGTTTTTCGACCAAATTTCAGATTTTGAAAAATCTCTAAGTTTTCAGATAGTTTTCCACTTGAAACATAGTTGACTTTTATTAAAACATTATGAAAATATTTACTATTACTTTACTAAAGCTTTAATGAAAAATTTAAAGTTATTTTTGACAATTTTTAATTTATGATTATGATTTTAAAAAAATTCGGTCTTACCACCATAATTGAAAAGAACCCTAAAATACATAAAAAATAGTTGATCGCCATGAATAGTCTGGATAATCAAAAAAACTTTGAAATACCTAAAAGTAAAGTGCAGCGAGTATTCCATGTTGACGTCGTCGACTTTTGAGATGCTTCTGAAAAGAGACGATTTGCGCATGAACAGATACAACTCATAAACCTTTTATACAGTAACATTGACATTAATTATAACTAAAATACAACTTATAATAAAGAAACGATACCTGAGATACATGTTGACGGTGACGAGCACGGGTCCAGTTGGATCTTCCTCGTCGGGTGGCGGCTGAAAATACGTAAATTGACAAATCGACAAAAAACGGGTAGATGATTTATAGATTTAAGAATTAAAAGAAACCAGGGTTGAAAAACCGCTTCGCGGCTTTTCAACCCTGGCCCCGTCTGACTCTTCAATTTGCATAATATTGCCCGAATTGCGAAGACAAAAAATGAAAAACGCCCCCTCCGTCCCTTTATATAGGCGAGCGCAACTTCCGGTGGATTCTAATTTTCCTAACAAAGAGGCCGAGCTTAATATCGAAAACAGCTCATTTTAAAAAATTTGATAGGTGTGCAGTCGTGTCATGACCATTACGCACCTAATGATGATCATACATACCCCTAGCTTCTTCCTTATTGAGATACGACTGGAACATACGACGGAAGTTGCATGCAAATGCACACACAGACACTATTTTTTTATATATAGTAGGATTAATAAAATGTAATTTCATAAGTATTGAAATACCTGTAAGCTGCCGCGCGGTCTGACCCTCCAGTCATAATTGCTCTCCGGGTTTTCGACAAGTTCTTTGATGATGCGCTGTTCGTCAAGCAGTTTTTCGTATCTGAAAACGTTGCTCGTTGCCGTTGCCTATCCACGCATTATCCTACGCATTTTAAGAGTAATATTTATGACCAGCCGCTTGCACGGCAAAGCCGCAACGGCTGGACTTCGCGACCCCCTGTGTGCCCGGGGGGGTATTTCCGGGGGCGGGGGAAACCAAATTTTTCCTTGCTCTCCCGGTTGACCTAGTAATCAAATATAAAGTGTTTTCACATTGTTTTTAGTAAATTTTAACTATATTTAAAGTAGAAAAACCTTTCAAAAAAGTTAGAAAAATGTTTGAAAAAGTCGAAAATTGGTCATTTTGGGACTTTCCCCCCGCTAATCCTAAAGGTTCCTATAGGATTTTTCGACCTAAAATTAAATTTTTTAATTAAAATGTGGGTAGTTTTTATGCTCAGGAATAGTTAAAAACCATTTAGAAACGCATGCGCTATTTAGAAAAAAATTTAGGCTTGGGCAGAAAAAATTAGAAAACTTACTATTGAGTTCCTAGATCTTCCCGGAGTCATCGGAAAAAATTAGCCCCCCCGGCCCCTGATAACGCCAAAGCTCCAAATGGGTAAAGAGTAATTATTTAGAAAACCTTACCCAGGTATTTCAGCTGCGCCGGCAATCGAATAGATCAAGAAGAGCAGGCTGAACATCATTTCAGCTTTGAGCCCCTAAAGTAGGCTGTTTCTGGGGACGCGGTAGGCTAGCAGGGGTCCTTTAGGACCTGGGAAAAAGTCAGAAGAATCCGTGTGCCGTAAATAGTAACGTATCGGACAGGAATACGGCTGGGGCTTTAGAAATAATTTGGTACTATTCAAGTTGGGGGCAAAATTTTAGGTCAATTTTAGGCACTGATCAGTTTCGCGGCTATTCCTGCGCATTACCAACACAAGCTAGGCTAAGCCGGCACAGTTAAATTGAGCTTGAACAAAGCAAGTCGAAGCCAAAAGCAGTGAGCTGTGACGAAGCCAAGCTAGGACCAGGTACTAAGGCTTAGGCTAAGCATAGGCTTAAGTCTAGGTTAAACTAGAACGTCTACAGTCTACAGTTCTAAGCCTAGCCAAGTTGCTAAGCCTGCAAAGCCTAGGCCAAGCCAATACTAAGCTAGCAAGCCTAAGCCCGAGAAAAACTGACCAATTAGCCCAAAAATGACCGAAAATTTTGCCCCCCAACTTGAATAGTACCAATAATTTCTACTAAATGATCGTCACCACTACAGGGTGCCCCAAAAAAACCCCGGCCGTCTTCTATCCGATCGGGACCAAATTTTTACCAGCGGTGCAAACCCGTAGAAACTATGTGCAGCCGAAGTTTCTAAACAAAATATTGAAAAACAACAAAGTTATAGCGAAATTATGATTTATTTTGCCGATTTCACTATCATTTTGACGGATTTCGATCTCGAAATTTTCAGCAAAAATGAAGATGGCACAGTCTTCCCCCTGGAGGAATTTTTTGCTTTACGAAAATTACGTCTAAATTGGTATAAAAATTGACAGAACTCTGAAACCGACCCGAAAACGACGATTTTTGGGAAAGTTACTCAAAATCGGCCGGCTAATTGCGAAAACATAGCCAAAAATGAGTACCAGCGTTTTCCAAAAAGCAGTTTTTGGCGATAATTTTTTTGTTTCACAAGATATTGCGTAGAGAATTCGGCTGCACATAGTTTTTATAGGTTCCCATCGCTGGTAAAAATTTGGTCCTGATCGGATAGAAAATGTCCAAATGCCGAGGAGGGACACCCTAAAGGTCACTAAAAAAGCCAGAATTACGACCAAGTCACAAAAAACTACACGGTGGCCTGAATTGCGTCCTTTTGGGGATGGCCCCCGGTTGGTGGTGAAAATGGAGGATAGAGACCAGTCCCAGGCCATCAGCAATTATTCAGCGCCTCCCTCAAAGGGTCCCCGCCGGCTGGCCAGCCATGCCATAACTTGCTTATTGTCTTTCTTTGCTAACCAATGCGCTTGAGCCGCATGTTTTGTGTCCGCCGAGCCGAAGGCACGCTCAAAATCTTGGCGCTACGGGTTTCCGGTGCTGCACTGTTAACGGGGGGACTCATTTTCAAAAAAAAAAAAAAAAAAAAAAAAAAAAAAAAAAAAAAAAAAAAAAAAAAAAAAAAAAAAAAAAAAGGGGGGGCAGAATCCAGAATTTTACTACACGAAATTTCCACTTTCGGAAATTACTTGCTTTCGAGCCTAAGACAAGTTCGAGAATGTGAAACTTCCAGGTGGTCAAAATTTAAGCTTCTGCTTGTCCGAGATTCCTATTCGATTCGATAAATTATATTGAAAATTAAGTGCGACAAAATTCAGGGCAAATCGCTGAGCGGCAAAAGTGAAGCGCCGCCGGGCTCCGCCGGGCATTAATTCGCTTTGGCCCAGCCCCGGATCTGCGATGCGCCCAAGGAGCGTCTGGATGGGAACCTAATTTTGAGACCCACCCCTCGACCCCAAATAAATATGACGGAGGAGATACCCGCCGCAAACTGCTCCCCGTCGCCTCAGGTGCCAATAGCTCGCCCCCCGAGAAAAGTGGAAATAAATGAGGCGCAGCCCCCTCACCGACGATGAAATCCGAGAAGCCCTACCCCGCATTCCTAGGCCCCCAAAGCTCCCCTCGCGCGCTCGTTGAGCAGCACCATATGGGGCCGGTCACAAAAGAATTGGCACTCGGCCAAAATAGCCAAATTGGGCCTCCAAGGGGGGCTCGATTTCAGCCGAAGCAGCAGCTCCTCCGTTTGTTTGTTGAAGGAGTACCGGCTGGAATACGTTAAGAGGTCTTGGCGGTGGGCTTTATACTTCCAGTGTACCACTTGCAAAAAAAGCATAACCCGAAGCGGCCGCGCAAACGGTTTTGCAGAGAAATATCAATTCTCAAAATTTGGTTCTTTAGTTTTTCCGGGGGATTTAATTTTTGCTGCGACCCCAGATAAGCCTGAAAACGTCATCTCAAGTACCTATATAGTCGTGTTAATAACGCTACGCGATCGAACAAGTTTAGAAACCCAACAAAGGTGCCAAAATTTCAAAACTGGGTCGAAAGTCCTACTTGTGGACGTTTGAAGCAAAAATAAAGTAAATCTCCCCTGGAAAGCTGAAAAAACTCCCAAAAAATTTTTTTTCCTTTTAATTGTAATTTAATTTATTTTTTAATTTAAATTTTTTAATTTAATTTTTAAAAATTTTTTTGAACGCGCCAGTGACCAGACTACGGTGACCACAGACCCCAAAATGCTGACGTTTAGACAGACAGCCCCCCATCGTGCATAATTAGGGCATCAGGGCCCCACCTCAAAGGAGTGGCCAAATGTCACGACAACCCCGGGCTCTTGAGGTGCCACATAATTGGACAGGTCCACCAAACTTGGCGGAATAAGCCGCGACAGCTCGTCGAGATGCACTCCCGGCTTAGCACCAGGCCCCGCGCTATACTTTCTGAATAAAAGCAACTAGTCTGCCAATGTTTAAACAAAGACTGAAACTTCTTGGAAATCTTGAAGTAGATAAACGAGGCAAAACCAGTGGTTGTTGCTTGCGATGGATCCGCGGCTTCGAAAGCGGCTGTCTGGATCCCACTTGTTGACTAATCGCGATACTTTCCTCGAGTGCCGTGGCCGCCCACTCATAAGCACAAGGGAGCAGGGGACGAGTGTGGAATGCCCTATCATTCCCGAGGTTTTTACAGACAGCAGGCCGCTTCAGAAAAGCCGAACCAATCGCCCAACTTGAAACGAGTGGAAAATTGCGTCCCAGATGCCACCACATGTCAGCCGACCCAGTTAGGGATGCATTAGTTCATGGCGGGAAGGAGCCAGTAGAGTTGAGAAGCTCAGCGGTGAGGGGCAGCACTCCAGTACAAAGCAGTCAAGAAAAAAGCACCACACGCCTTCACCCGCAAGAATAATCCGATTTCCTTCGAAAACTGCCAACCGAGGTAGCAAAAACAAATTTATTAGTGCAATAAAACAAGTTGGATGAATTCGTAACAATTTATAGATAATAAAACAAGTTTACACAGCCTCTTCCTTTCCCTTCTTCTCGGGCTTTCCTCCGCGAATGCGTCCAGTCCTCCGGGCAGCGATGAGGCCGACCTTCTTTCCGGCGCTAACGCCGCGGCCGAGGGGTGTCCGATGTGCTGGTGGTTACCTATAAATTCGTAGAGGATACATATAAGTAAATTTACCTCCTCCGTGGGGATGTTCAACGGGGTTCATGGCAACTCCTCGCACGCGTGGCCAGCTGTGTCGTTTAGCCTTGTACTTGTGGTAGGTGTTTCCGGCCTTGAGCATGGGCTTGTCTGTCCTTCCGCCACCAGCCACGATTCCTGAAAATGAAAATTTGCTGGTTAATGGAAAAGAATTAGAGGTAAAATCAAAATACCGACCGATCATGGCACGGTTGGCAGAGGCGACAACCTTCTTGGCTCCTGAGGGCAGACGGATACGGGTCTTGCCAGTGTCGGGGTTGTGGGCGATCACAGTTCCGTAATTGCCTGCAGGCAAAAAAATCTCCATAGTGATGGCAAAGTTACCAGAAGCACGGGCGAGGACGCCGCGGTCGCCATTGCGGCTTTCGACGTTGCAGATGGCCGTTCCTTCAGGAAGTTCACCGACAGGGAGGACGTTTCCGATTTGGACTTGGGCTAAAAACAACATCAGCGCACAGCAATAAATATACCTTTCTTTCCGCAATACACAAACTGTCCGGTGTGCATGCCTTCGGCAGCGCCCCATTGTACCCTGCAAATATTTTCACGCGCAAAATGAAAGAAATCAGACAATACGGAGGAACGTTTGGCCGGCGAGGTCAACAAAAACAGGTTGGATAAGTACTGAACAATTTATATGAAGATCACGTAACAATTTTACTCTCTTTTATTCCTTTTTCACGGCCTTGTCTTCGCAAAAAGTCTGGCTGACGGTGTCGAATTGGGCCTTCATCCCGGAGGTGCCGCCGCCACCGACGGTTGAGGGGTGTTCGATGGGCTTTTGGCTACCTATATAATCCGTAAAGGATATAGCTAAGTAAATTTACCTCCTTTGTTGGTGACGCCCGTGCTAACGCTAGATACGGTCTTGGGCGGGCTGGCCTCACTCTTCTTTCGATAAACACCCATCCGGCTGTAGGTAGGGGCTTTCGCTTCGGACAGTCCTGGGATCGTACGCTGGGAAGGATTCGGGGCCTAAAAGGATGATATTAGCTGAGAGAAAATAATTCGACAACGACGCCACCGGAAACCGAAAAAGGCCAAAGCCGCGAAAGCCCAAAAATCACCCACCAGGAACTTCACAAGGGCTTCTCCAGCTTCGTTCTTGACGGGGGATCGAGCGATTCCCTTCTGTACCTGAAAAAAGGCCATGAGGAGGCGAGTAAGGAGAAGATTTGACACCATCAGCAAAATGTAAAGAAGAGATGAAAGCTTACCGGGGATTTGACAGTTGACTTGGTCGTCCCCTTCTTCGCCTTGGCGTAATGAGCAGAATCCATCGTATTGTATTACCTGAAAAAAAGATAATTTTATGAAAGCAAAGACAAAACATAAAATGAAGAGCGGAACGCGAAAAAAATTCGAAAAAGCCCCAAAATCCGACAAAGCTATCTCTGATCCGCCTGGGTCCCGTAACGCCGTTGGGGCACGTTTTAGCAGCCATGATTGTTTAGAGTAAAGCATCGGAATCGGAACTTTGAAAAAATATGGTCCCTAAATTTCAAAAAAAGTCTATCAAAGGATTTCTAAAATATAAAATCTACATAAGTTGGCGCTTTATATCGGTTTGTGCGAAAAAAATCCAGCATTTTCTATTCTCGAAACCGGTGCCCGGGCGGCCATGGAAAAATACAATACCTCGAAGCAAAAAAAATGAACAAAGTGTGAAGATGAAAAACAAGAAGGGCCAGCCAAATTTGAACGCGCAATTTTCCGTGTTGTTGGAAAAGATACGGAAGCAGTTGAAAGGAAGCAAGAAGCAAGCTTCTTTTGAATTTACGATGATTTCATGCAGTTGTTGTTGTTGTTTTTGTTGTTTTCTTCTATTGTTGCCATGATGGAGACTGTTCTTTATATAAAATTTCAGGCGGGATGTCCTCGAAACGATCCCACACGGCGTCAATCTTCGACTTGACATCACGAGAGTTCGACGTCGATGCTTACATCAGCTACCAGCTCAAAGACAAGACCTTGAGCGAATTGATGCGTTCCGAAGAGGAGATGATCACCGCGGTAAATTTGTTGGCTAGCACCTTAGAATCTTTTTTAGATACGCCGTCTGGATTCTGACGTCCATCAAATCGTCTACGAAAACTACAACAAATTCCTCACAGCCACGAGCACGGTTCGAAAAATTCAGGACGAATTTAGCGGCCTGGATACGGTTAGTTCTTGCTAGATTTCAAAGTAATCCAGCAATTCTACAGGGAATGGAGGAAATCAGTTCTTCGATGGGCAAAATTCAACGCTTATTGCACGACCTTGGTGGGACGATTGGTGGAGACAAGTCCGACGTCACGCAGCTATCACGCTCCTATAAGGCGGTCACGAGCGTGCAGTTCATCTACGACCTCCCTGCCACGCTACAAGTATGATCCCTTCAAGAAGTTCTTATTTGCTTTAGAACTATTTCGACGAGGGCAAATTTGCGGACCTTCTGCTAGCGAAAAAAGTCTCTGGCACCGTTTTCTGACATGGAGCACATCGCGAAAGTTCTGGGACAATGTGACAATATAGCAACAAAAGCCGAAGCAGAGGTATTATCGATTTGGTTTTCTATATTTTTTTAAGTTGCGTGAACGAATTGCGACGGGCCAGTTTGACAATACAGAGTGATTGGCGAAAAACGTGGAATTGCTCGTCAGCCTCGGCGTTCCAAAAGATGATTTGCAAGTAAGGGATCAAAAATTTTGCAAAGAATCTGGTTTAGAGTACGTTATTGGCGGCCTCGGAGAAAAGCTTGCGCGACGACTTGGCAGGATTGGAAGCGCAAGTCGAAGATGTACTGGACCTTGTGGATCGAGGTTTGCCGGTCGTTTTTCTTGAAATTATGTTTTTAGGCTGTGGCACGTTTTTGCCGAACTTGAATCTCTTTGTCAATCTGCACGAGACCTCTTCCCGGCGAAGCACGGCGTTTTGCTGCAGGTGGTCCGCCGACTGATGGCGGATTTCCACGAGATTGTCAAAAAGTAAGGGCTTCTTCTGTTCAGAAAATGGCGTCTAGGCTTTTCCTCACTTCAACGGACCCTAAAGATTGTTCAATCGTCGACCGCGCCCTCGATCGTTACTATCGAAAGATGAATGCTTGTGCGCAAGTGTTGCCTGGTAACTTAGCCGAAATCTAGCATTCATCCCTTTTTCGTCTAGGCCTCGATTTTGGTGATGATTGCGTCGCGCTAATCAATGAGGTATTTTTCCGTTGTTTTTCTTTATTATACATTTTTTAGGTTTCGCTTCATCAAATGAAAATTTCGCGCGCTAAAATAGTCGAGCAGCTCGAGTTAACGTTGAAGGAGGTATTGGGGAGCGCCGAACTCTAAATCATAACTTGTTCAGATGCGTGAAAGTACGCTGTCAAATGACGTCGATTGGAACGGGAGGAGTGCACGGCTGGAGCAAGTTTTCGTGTTCAACGTCAAGACATCGCTTGCCAATTTGTTGTTGTTTACGGCTAGCGATGTGACATTTTCTGGTGAGTATCATCTATTCTGGACCAACATTTTGCAGCCATTCCACCGGCCCTCTTCCACAGCAAATTGGCCGTGGCGGTGCACGAGGAGCTGTTGGTTGGCGCGATAAACGATGTGGCCGACGCGATGGCCACTTATTCCAGTAAGTTTCTGACTTTTTGTGATTTTTGGGTGGGTTTTGTGTGTTAACGGCGCTTTTCGCAACGTGATCTCATTCTATAGAGCTAAAAATTTGCATCGCTGGATCCGGGATTTTAAGCTCTTTCGAATGGGCTATTTCACATCATAAAGCACGACTTTGACCTAAAAACGAATCCCTTTTAGGCGTTGGCGACGAGATGCGCTTTGTATCCCCGATGCTACTGCTGACGATCGCCATGTGCCTGCACCACATTGCTGGCAAGAGCGCCCAGTATCTGATGCGGCTCTGCGAGGAACAGTTTCTGCTCGTGGAGAAGAAGGTAGGGTTTTTGGTACTGGACGGTTAGTTATAGTCAGCAATCTAGTAGTTTTGATTGGAAAAAGGCACCAAAACAATGATAAATTTTTTAAAGACGAAAAATTGCTCAGGAATCAAAAATTTTAGATTTTAATGATGTTTTATTTAACTTTCTTCGGCTTCGACATTCTTTGGCATTCTTTTTTGCAACAGCCGACTGGGGGTATGCTTATCAAGCCGCATCTTATCAATGTGTTTTGCTTAGCCAAAAGCGCTTTCTGGGCTGGCTACCTAGGAGGACAGCGTGTTGTTAGGACCGCCGCTTCTCATTCTTACAAACTACTTTTCAATAGCTTGGTTTAGCGCAAAGATCTGACGCACACGGACACCGTCGTTGCCGCTCTACGAGATGCTGCCCAGGGTGTCATCAAGAGATTCGTTGACGCCAAGGTGAGACGATTCTGTAAAAATCCGAATCTCCCCCTAGGGCTTATCCATCGGCGAAGGGGTCGCGAAGGCCGTAGAAAACAACACTACAAATGTTGCGCCGCCTGTTGGCGTCCGCAGCGCCATCAGAAGAGCCGTCGATGAGGTATACTTTCAAAAAGAAACCGCATGGATTTTTTAGGTTCGAGATTTTGACCAGCTATTCGCCTCGATTCTGAACGACGGCCGGAAGGAGGTCAAGGCTTCCCGGACACCAAGGTTTTGGAGAATATTTTTGTTTTTACATAAAAACTTACAGGCAAACGGACCCCTTCCAGCGCGACACGCTGTGGAGCGAACGTGTGGATTTTCATGAACAAATCGCGGTACGTTCAAGATTTCATCGTTTTGTTAAAGGTTTTTTGGTTATTTTGCACAATCGGGAGGTCTAACTTTGCCTATGTGTCCAGCTAGTCTTAATAACGTATAGCATGATTTTTGAATGCGTTGTTAGTAAAATTTTACTTATTTTGAAAGTTAGACATCTATCTAAACACATCGGAAAAAAAATTTTATTTGAAATTTCCGTCACAAATCGTTCATGTTGGGTCGAAAACCCAATTTTCGTATTTTTTAATTGGCCTTTATAACGCTTTTACTTATATCGCTAGTCTTTACGTTTAGGAACAATCAAGGCAGAAGATTTCTGTATTAAAAAATCATTCTTTTCAGTTCACACGTGGCTCAATCATTGCCGGGATGGTCAAGGTGTTCCTGAAGGTCTTCATCGAAGCCATCCGCACGCAGACATTCGGTAAGCATGCCGTGGAGCAGATCCAGGTTCGCCCTTTGGCATTTTCAGGAGCGATGCTTAGGTTGACTGCTACTATCTGCAACGAAACCTGGCACCATTGGTCTCTGATGAGGTATTGCTTTTTGCACCTTTTTTTGTAGACTTTCCTAGGTTGTTGTGAATTCGCTGAGCGACATGGCCCTGTCGTCGGCGTTGAAGCGAGCCCTCGACCCTGTATTGCTACACCCAAACAAACTAATGCAACTATGTGAACAAAATAACCCCACTAGCTGAATGTACTATTTGTATTTGTATTAGCTATGTGTGTGTGTGTTTTTCTTTCCCCAATCGTCTTTCTTGGAAGCGCTACAGGTGGGAACCCTTCAGGGCTTTATATTTTTCTTTAGAACGATTTCGACGAGGGCAAATTTGCGGACCTTGTTCGCATTTTTCTGCTAGCGAAAAAGTCTCTGGCACCGTTTTCTGACATGGAGCACATCGCGAAAGTTCTGGGACAATGTGACAATATAGCAACAAAAGCCGAAGCAGAAGTATTATCGATTTTGTTTTCTATATTTTTTTAGGTTGCATGAACGAATTGCGACGGGCCAGTTTGACAATACGGAGCAATTGGCGAAAAACGTGGAATTGCTCGTCAGCCTCGGCGTTCCAAAAGATGATTTGCAAGTAAGAGATCAAAAATTTTGCAAAGAATCTGGTTTAGAGTACGTTATTGGTGGCCTCGGAGAAAAGTTTGCGCGACGACTTGGCAGGATTGGAAGCGCAAGTCGAAGATGTCTTGGATCTTGTGGATCGAGGTTTGCCGGTCGTTTTTCTTGAAATTATGTTTTTAGGCTGTGGCACATTTTTGCCGAACTTGAATCTCTTTGTCAATCTGCACGAGACCTCTTCCCGGCGAAGCACGCGCTAATCAATGAGGTGTTTTTCCGTTGTTTTTCTTTATTATACATTTTTTAGGTTTCGCTTCACCAAATGAAAATTTCGTGCGCTAAAATTGTCGAGCAGCTCGAGTGAACGTTGAAGGAGGTATTGGGGAGCGCCGAACTCTAAAACGTAACTTGTTCAGTTGCGTGAAAGTACGCTGTCAAATGACGTCGGTTGGAACGGGATGAGTGCACGGCTGGAGCAAGTTTTCGTGTTCAACGTCAAGACATCACTGGGCAATTTGTTGCTGTTTACGGCTATCGATGTGACATTTTCGGGTGAGTCATGCAAAGTCCGATTTCCTTCCAAAACTGCCAATCGCGGTAGCACAAACAAATTTATTAGTGCAACAAAAACAAGTTGGATGAGTTCGTAACAATTTATTTTTATAACAAAACAATTTTTTAAACAGCTTCTTCCTTTCCCTTCTTCTCGGGCTTTCCTCCGCGGATGCGTCCAGTCCTGCGGGCAGCGATGAGTCCAACCTTCTTTCCGGCGCTGACGCCGCGGCCGACGGTTGAGGGGTGTCCGATGTGCTGGTGGTTACCTATAAATTCGTAAAGGATACAGCTAAGTAAATTTACCTCCTCCGTGGGGATGTTCAACGGGGTTCATGGCAACTCCTCGCACGCGTGGCCAGCTGTGTCGTTTCGCCTTGTACTTGTGGTAGGCGTTTCCGGCCTTGAGCATGGGCTTGTCTGTCCTTCCGCCACCAGCGACGATTCCTGAAAAAGAAAATTTGCTGGTCAATGAAAAAGAGTTGGAGGCAAAATCAAAATACCGACCGATCATGGCACGGTTGGCAGAGGCGACAACCTTCTTGGCTCCTGAGGGCAGACGGATACGGGTCTTGCCAGTGTCGGGGTTGTGGGCGATGACAGTTCCGTAGTTGCCTGCAACAAAAAATCTCAATAATCCATCGCAAATTTACCAGAAGCACGGGCGAGGACGCCTCGGTCGCCATTGCGGCTTTCGACGTTGCAGATGGCGGTTCCTTCAGGTAGTTCACCGACGGGAAGAACGTTTCCGATTTGGACTTGGGCTAAAAAACAATATAAACATAAAACAACAAGTATACCTTTCTTTCCGCAGTACACAAACTGTCCGGTGTGCATGCCTTCGGCAGCAATCAACGTGCTCTTGATGGTTTGGTAGCGGTACGGGTTGCGGAAGTGGACGATGGCCAATGGTGCTCCACGGCCCGGGTCGTGGATGATGTCCTTGACGACGCCCTTGATGTAGCCATGTCGTTCGGCGTAATCGATGGCGCGCAGCTTCGCGGCTCCCTTGCGGTGATGGGTGTGGGCCTTGAAGACGGTACTGCTACCCTTCCTCTGGACCTTGATACGGCGACCCATTGTACCCTGAAAAAAAATAGTTATGAAGGAACAACAAAGCAACATAGCAAAAAGTCACGAGAAACGTGACTGAAGCCGACAAAGTAATAAACCTCAACGAAAAATGGCAAGGGTTTCGCTCCACAAAAACTTCAGAAAGGAGAAAAATCGAGAGCAAAACGAAATCTGAAAATTCGCGACAGAGATCGGGCGTGTATAGTAATCAAATGGCCTCCAATATCGAACGTGATAATACAGATTACGAACCAGCGCACATTTTTTGGGAAAAATTTGGTGTCGCTTCCGCATTTTGAAAAAAAAAGAAAAAGCAAGAGAAACGCTCATACAAACAGTTTGAAAAAGTAACATATGTTCGAAAAGGCTGCATGAATATTAATTTTAAACTTTTGCCGAAGACAAGGAAACCACGTAGTTCTAGTGATGAAGGTTTATTTATAGCACTTTCTCTGATTTCATAGTTTTTTTAGCGTATTTGAAGCCGCCCGGCCAAATAACTAACCAAGGTGGCTTATACCTCTTTAGTAAAGTATTCCAGGCCTAAAATAAAGTTCCAAGTGAACAGTGATATTAAAAAAGCCTAATCGTCGTTTTGATGCTTATTTCGCTGTATAATGGCTGTAATCTATGTTTGGATAAGTTACCCTATACGGATAAGGTCGAACCATACATATTACCGACGGATAAATGTCGATTCCGAAGTGAAAAGGGCAATCAGATCGCAAAAATTGGCATCATCGCATGTTTTAGACGTTTTAGGCCATGGGAAAAGGAATCGCGTATGCGTGTTCCGTTCGCCCCTATCCACTCCGGGCAGCTGTGCTCGCCCGCCAATCGGCCCCTTGCTTTATTGCTTGGAGTCTTTCGTAAATATCTTGCTACAGATACCCTTCGGCTCGTGCACGTCGACATTCCAAAATGGCTAGACATCGCAGCGTGCGTAAAATGGATTACGATGAAGGTAATTTTTTTGTTATCTGGGGATTTTGTAATGTCCGCTTCAGAAATGTTCGGGGACGATGATGATGAATACGATCAACACTACGAAGACGAATATACCGCTTCCCCATCAGACAGTAAGCAGTGAACACTAGATTTATTGATTTTTAGCGAGTTACCTCTACCAACGGACACGGCTGACGTCCACAAATCAGACCGTCGCGAATGCTCCAAGGCTCTTCGAGTTTATACCAGACGACAAACCAGCCGCCGTCGAGAACACATTCAATTTCGACGATGATTCTCCGATCGATGAGGTCGACGTTCCGCCGCCGCCCGGATTTGCCCCGATTAGCAAGCCACCCACACGGCCGAGCTCTTCCGCTTCCACAGCACGTGACCCGGTTAAGGTACGCATTATACTGAAGGGCCGTTATCGCTGTTTTTAGGCCGCCGGCTTCAGCATCAGCCGAATTGAAACTCCCGAGCCCCGCGTGGTCGAAAATCTTCGTGGTGGGCCATCGACGAAACGAAGCGATTCCAAATCGCCAGCGCGGGCCCTTATGCGCGAAAATTGGGAAGCGCCCAAAGGCTTGACACCAAACGCGTCCTCTCACAGGTTTGTATTTTATCATTTACGCCTAACTTCGTATATCTAGGCTCAACCAACTCGCTTCCATCCTTGCTGCACCTTCAACCCCGAGGCGGGAACGTAAAAGGGCAGAAGGGAAAGAATTGATCAATTTGGTCGTCGTCGGCCATGTAGACGCGGGCAAGAGCACCATGATGGGTCATTTGTTGTGTAAGGTGGGTGTTGCTAAGATAACTCTATAAAACTTGTTTTTGCAGCTGGATTGCGTAGACCAGCGCGTTATGCACAAATATCGACAGGAATCGGAACGGCTTGGGAAGGGATCGTTTGCGTTCGCTTGGGTATTGGACGAGACGGAGGAAGAGAGGTGGGATCCGCCGGAAAATCGGCATTTTCCATTTGCGACTTATTAATTTCAAGTTTTAGGGCGCGAGGTGTGACGATGGACATCGCGAGGACGAGTTTTGAAACGGAACACAGACGAATCGTGCTCCTTGACGCGCCCGGCCATAAAGACTTCATTCCAAACATGATCACTGGTGCGTTTCGCGGACCCTGGAGATTTTTATATTTTTTTTGGCACAAAGTGTACGTAAGCAGGGCTCTTCAAAAGCCTACAACTTTCTCTGGGATCGTTTTTGAATTGAGAACGCGCTGATCGCGATACATCGTTTCTAGTTTAAGAAGTTGAAAAACGGAATTTTGACACCATAGCGCCAATATATTTTTTCCTTTTTCCAGGAGCATCGCAGGCCGATGCCGCTCTCCTCGTTGTCAACGCAAATATTGGCGAGTTCGAATCTGGCTTCGACAAAGGCGGTCAGACCAGGGAACACTCGATGCTTATCCGGTCTCTTGGTAAGCCAAATTCCACACAACATTTTCTTTTAGGCGTCAGTCAGCTAATCGTCGCCATCAACCAAATGGACAAAGTCAACTGGTCGGCCGATCGCTATAAAGAGGTGGAGTCGCAGATCCGTGTCTTCCTGGAGCGACAAGCCGGATTCAGCAAGATTACTGTCGTGCCCTGTTCCGGATTGGCTGGTGAAAATTTGGTGAGAATCGCTAGTTTCCGCTCATCAAAATCTCTAGACGGAACGCGTAAAGCCTGGGTCCCTGTTGCACAAATGGTATGACGGCCCTTGTCTGCTGGAATTGATTGGTTTGTCTGCTATCTGTCAATTTAACCCAATTTAGATCGATTGAAAGCCCCTGCCAGGGCTTCTGACGGGCCGCTACGGGCGATCATCAACGATATCTTCAAGGCCACCACTTCGCAGCTTTCCGTTTCGGTGAAAATTGAATCGGGAGATGTTGAGGCAAACGATGAAGTGTACATAATGCCCACCGCGAACACCGCATTTGTAAAAGGTATCTTTGTAAAACCATGTTCTCAATTCGTTTTTGTTCAGCCGTTTCTATGGAAGGAAGCAGCGCGGCGAGCGGAGCTTTCACCGGAAGCCAAGCATTGATGACGCTCAATGGCCAATTCGAGCCGGACACCATCCATCCGGGACACGTGCTGACGAGTCGCGGAAAAGATGCCCTCATGCCGGGTCGAACGTTCAAGGCACGCATCGTCGTCTTCGACATTGCCGTCCCGATTATGAAAGGTTGCCCTAAAATAATGTCTTTGCTTAACCAAATTCAGGGACGAAAGCCGAGCTCTACTGTCACTCCCTCTGCGAGCCGGTGACATTTAAGAAGCTTGTCAGCGAGATCAACAAGACCAATGGAGAGGTGCTCAAGGATAGGCCACGGTTTGGAACGTTGAATTTTCTAAAACATCTGTATAGGTGTCTTGCCAAGAATCGGTCTGGCGTCGTCATCCTCGAAACGGAGCATGAAGTGGCTGTTGAGCCTTATACGGTATAAATTTGAAAATTTGGAAAGAAAGACGTTGAAATTAGATTTGCAAACAACTCGGCCGGATCACGATCCGATGCAACAATCAAACGATCGCGGCGGGCATCATCGAAGCTAAAGTGGATATAGGGGATATTTGAATTGTTTTTAGCTTCTTCGCATGTTGTGATATCGGAACACATACTGCCTTACAGATATTCCTTGTTCTCGTTGTATAATTGTATGAACACCGGGCATTTTGTGTTTTTACAGGTTTTTGATAAATTTTTACGAGTATCGGCTCCCCAACAACAGAGTACCCGAGGCTATAGATATTTCGCAGGCATGGTGCACGACAATTAGTGGCGTTCCTATTACTTTTCGAAAGTGTTTTTATTGAAATTAATAATTTTGGACATTTTGGAACTACGGATGCGATTGTAATTGGGTTACAGAAATGGCCGACGTGCAGCCTCCGTTCGAGGCAGAAAAAGAGGCCGACACGGACACCCCCGAAAAACGAGAGGACGAGCAAGGAGCTTCTGGGCTCACTGATGGTATATTTTATTGTTTAACTAGCAAATCCATATTAGAAGCAAACACCCAGTACCAACCGCGCTACATCCTGGACCATTGGGTGACCTGGCAGCCCGATGGCCGGATGATGAAGTACGTCAATGAAGTCTGGGAAGAGGTATCACAGTTTGAATTTGAGTAGTTTCCCCATTAAGGTTACCGAGGAGGACGATCGCACGCTGCTCAGCCAGCTGTGGAACGAGCAGCAACGAGCTGAGACAGAGAAGGTCGTCGACGGGGTCAAGTTGAAATGGGATCCAACAACTCAGCAATGGCTGCCACAAGAGCTGGATGATGATTTTCTCGCAAACTATCAGGTTTTGTGATCCTAACCTTATTGTACAAAAATATCTAGGCAAACTACGGCGTCGCATATGATTACTCCAAAATCGAAGTGAAGAAGCCGGTGGTGCCCGTTGAGAAAAAGGAAGAAAAGAAGAAGGAGACGAAGGAAGAACGCGCTAAACGGAAACGAGAAAATAGGCAAAAGGTCCCACAGCAAGGTAAATTTGGATCGCTGATGCATTGGGAATGATTATTCTTCAGGATGGATCGAAAACGAAGCAAATACGGCCGTTTACGTCACCAATCTACCGCTTGACATTGATGAGGAAGAGTTCCAAGTCCGTGCTCGCCAATCGTTTCCCAAACCCGTTTTAGGCGTTCATGACAAAGTGCGGTGTGATTCAAGTGGAACCACGTAACAACAAACCCAAGATCAAGCTTTATCGAGAGGCCGACGGCTCGGTGAAGGGCGATGGGCGGTTCGTGTCCTTTTTCTGAGAAAACCGGGATTTAGATGTACATACGTCAAGCCGGAATCTGTGGAATTGGCGCTCAGCATCCTCGATGGATCCGAATTCAACGGCTCGAAAATTACGGTATAACCTGTGCAAGCCAAAAACTAGATTTTTCAGGTGGAACCGGCGCACTTCGAACTGAAGGGCGAATACGATCCGGCGAAAAAGAAGCGCCGGCTGACCGCTCAGCAGAAGAAGCGTTTCCTGGAGCAGCAGAACAAGTAAGATAGTAATTTGGAATCGTCACCGCTTGCTTAGAATCTTTGCCTGGACCCCCGACAAGCCCCGAAACTATCGGCCGAAGGCTCACTGTACGGTCGTGCTGAAGGGAGTTTTCACTTTGGAAGAAATGGAGGTTTGTACAATATTTTTTATGTAACTTTATCGATTCAGCAAAACGCTGCCCTAATGCTCGACCTGAAGGAAGTTTACCAGAAATTGTGCGCCAAGTACGGGACTGTCAAGAAAGTTGTCGTTTATGACGTAAGTTCAATTTTTTAGGCTCATGGCTTGCTGGTGTTTTCAGACCAATCCGGATGGCGTTGTCACCGTCTCGTATACAAATACCGAAGAAGCCGATCTGGCGATCAAGATGCTCGACAAGCACCTGATCAACGGCAAACTCCTCGACGCCTATAACTGGGACGGCAAGGCCAAGTTTAAGGTAAGCCACTTATGACCTCTAAAACCTAGAAAATTTGCAGGTCGAAGAAACGGAAGAGCAGCGCCAAGCCCGACTAGAACGTTATGGACGCGAGCTTGAGGGAAATGACGACGTTGGTTTTTAGCTTCGCTTCAAAAACGAATTTAGGAGGACAAGTCGACGGAAAGCGGTGGCGACACTGACTCGTCAGACGATACCGACTCCTCCTCCTCCGACGGCGAGGAGCAAGACAAACGGGCTGATGACAATGCGGAGAAGTAGACTGTTTTCACAATTCCCCGATGCCGATCTCTTTACAGTTTTTCTTTTTGATTGAACGTTGTGTTTTAAAAGTGTTGTGTTTTTGAATCCGGTGATAAATCATTTTAAGTTGTAGATTCGCTGCATACTTTCGGCATCGTAACGTATCGCCGCAACGCTTCAGGTATTGAAGTGACTTTTTAAAAGTCAGTGTTGTTCCTTGGCAGCGGCCTCCTAGTGGCTACATTTCAATACTCGCAACAATCCGCCCTCGCGCCCCATCACCAAATGAAGCTGAGGTGTAACCCAGTGCGCTCCAGAGGGCATCTTATCAAAAGAAGATACAGAATCTCGGGTTTTTCTGTAGCTCTTCTAAAGCGGCTCGAATGGCCCATTACGTGGATGACCTTCCCGGAACCAGCGCTGGGACGTCGACCTCTGGTTCGTGCTGAAAGCTTGGTTTTTTCGGGCAAACCCCTCATGGTTTTACCATAATCACAACCAAGCCACAAAGATCAAGTTCAAAATCTTGTTTAGGACCGGAAAACAGCAATTCGTTGATTTCGTCAACCAGCAAGGGCCCCTATGTTCATCAGGTGAGCACGAGGTTGCATAAAAACCCGAAAAATTTTAGTTCAAACACCACTACACCCATCTGATGAACGCACTGTCGGAGCTGCGACGCGATGAGGAGCTGTGCGATGTCGTGCTGCTGGCTGGGAGTGAGAACCGGAAAAAATCGTGGCAAAAACCGAATTTAGCGCACCGAATACCGGCACATCGCGTCATCTTGGCGGCCTGCTCGTGCTATTTCAAGACAATGTTCACCACCAGCCTCCAGGAATCCAGCCAGCGTAGGAACATTTGCGTTATCGGGGGGGAAGCATTTTAATACCATTGTTAAGCGAATTTAGCTAGATTTCAAGTAGAACTTCTTAGAAAACTCTCATTTGAAAATTTAGTCTAGAAATGAGGTTTTTGTTGGTAAATATATTTTTTCTTGGTTTTGTAACGTTTTATACGTTTGGAACAATCACAAAAAGTATATGGAAACGTAAAGGATCCTCCCCCGATAATGCGAAAGCACCGGAATCATTTTTTAGGCGAAATACGAATGCTCGAAATCGACGGCCAAACACTGTCACAAATGGTGATGTTCTGCTACAGCGGCGAGGTGAGGATCGCGTCAAAAGCGAGCTATTGAAGCGTTTAGTTGAAAATCACTGACAGCTCGGTGCAACAACTCCTTCCGGCGGCCTGTTTGTTGCAGATGGGCGAAATACAGGTTAGGCCGTCTTAATGGGTTTTTATCTATAACTTTTTTGTTTTTATATTTTTATAGCTTTAAGCCTTATTTCTGATCCCCCGTTTCAGGATGTTTGCTGCGAATACCTTGGCAAAAACCTGGACCCGTCGAATTGCCTGGGAATTCGAGCCTTTTGCCGACACGCACTCGTGCCGCGAGCTGGCGAGGATCGCCGACGTCTACACGCAGAACAACTTTCAGGTATTACTTTTTACGGATCCTTTAGTATTATAATTTGTTTTTCGTGTGTATTAAATAATATTAGGCTTTGTAAACTTAATATATTATCTTTTTAGCAAGTGATCACATCCGACGAGTTTCTGCAGCTCTCCCTTGAGCACCTGCTGATATTGGTGTCAAGCGATGAGCTGCACGTGAAATCTGAGGAGCAGGTAGTTGGATCGGCTTCTTTCATTATGTCGAAAAATCATTTTATCGAAAATGATGCGAAATTTTAGACGAATAATCGAGGCGAAAAGGGCCAAAATTTCGACAAAATGAGACAAGATATTTCGACAAAAGTATTTTTGACAAACTGAAAGCAAATCAGTTGGATCTGCCTGTATTGATTGATTTTAACTGTCAAACTTTAACTTACTGAAAAGAACAAAAAGTTTTAAAACCGTTTTGTGTGGGCCATTTTGCGCATTCAAAAACCCATTGTAGGTTTTCGAAGCTGTCAAGCGATGGATTCACTGCGATTTGGCGGGGCGCCGGCAACATTTGGCGACGGTAAGTGGATTATTTTTTATTACAATCGCCGTAAAAGCGTCAGAAAGACAAGGATTGGGTAAAAATGCGTGAGGGGCGAATATGCATTTTGTAAAGCGTTAAAATTGGTTGAAATCAGCGTTATGCTCTTCAACTAAGGTAGATTTTGATGGTGGAGAGGATTGTGAGGCGGCAAAATGGGCAGCTATCGCTGAGCCTTGTCGAACAGTCCGAGCACGTCGTATGGCCGCAGCTAAAATTGTGGTTTTGGTGCTTTGCTGATAACGGGGGAGGTAATTTTTTTGCCTATACATACCTGTTAACCATAAACATTGTATTTTATAGCGTTTTCTAATAGTTTTTCATTGCTAGAAATTTATAAAAACTATTTAAATACTTTTGAAAATTCCGGACTTTTTACTTTTTCAACCATTTGTTATACATTTTTGGGCAATAATTCAAAAATGTTCGAGATATCTAAGAATTTTCAATCTAAAGACTGTGTAAAACACTATAAAACTGATTTTTTTTGGTGATAGGACCGTACGTAATTGCTGGCGGAAAATTGCCCCCCGTTAACAGAGAAGAACGGTAGTTGTTCGTAGACATTTAATACTAAAATTAATATTTAAATTCAAAGAATTCACGGGTTAAATGCCGTGTCGATTGGGTTTGTGATGCAAATCTTGCAACTCGACGCCGGGAGCTCGCCGTCGGATTGTTGGGCCAGTTCGCTGGTCGTGTGCCTACGTTTTTCTTTGCGTTTTCCGTTACACACCTACCGACGGCTTCTCCTTCTCGTGGACCTCGTCGGTCTCCTCTGTTCATCTACAATTCCGGGTAGCGGTATCGGATCTGGGTACTTGCGCATTATCGGGGGGGGAAAACTAATTGGGCTATAGGAATTTTATACGAGTCCGGAAATTCCTAAAAATTTTGATACTAAGTAGTTTAAATAGATTTAACTATAATTTAAGGGGAAAAACTATTCGAAAAACTTTTGTAGTTGTTAAAATTCGAAATTTTGATCGCTAAAAAATCGAGATTTTTTTGTATTTTTTGTGGAAACATTTTGAAAATGCTATTTGAGCTTTAGGATATCGCTAAAGTTTTGTTAAGCTACCAGCCAGGCGGGGAAGAGCTTGCTGCTCTTGCATATTCGGCTCCGAGCGGCTTCTCCTATTTTCGAGGGCGGCCACCATATTTTGGATGTGACGCCCGTTCGGGCGGGCTCGAGGCGGGAGTGCTACAAAAATCCCAGCTTTCCCCAAAGGATCTCTGCTAGCCTACCGGGGTGTTCAGCTACTGGCCCAAGATCAGGAATTGGGGGTTGACGCTCTTCGATGAGATTGGTTACTGTTTCGGTCTCGTCAATAGGCAATCGTGGCGTAATCTAAAGTTTAAACATTTCCTTAATTTTTGCTATAAGTTTAATTATGCATAATTGCGTAATAGTAACACTTTAATTGTGTGTTTGCTAAAATTTAGCTAGATTCAAGTAGAAAAACTATTTAGGAAACTTAGAAAATGGTTAACAGCTTGAAATTTTATTCGAAGCGCCATTTTTTACGTTAAAAAAATAAATTTTTGTGGTATTTTTCATTCTAAATCTGGAATCTTTGGACGTTTAGAAACATCTAAGCGCTTATTTCTCTCTCTCTCTCTCTCTCTCTCTCTCTCTCTCTCTCTCTTTCTCCTCCATTAACAAATGTAACTTTTCTTATGTTATCTATTAGAACCTGTTTCTCCCAACCTCCGCAATTTCCTCGCCCCCATAGAAATGACATTTGATGTGTCGATTGGAGTGTGCCGGAACTTTATGATCCGGTCTGTTATATTCCTCATGCACCTTTAGAAAACTTTATAGCTTTTGAAGGCCACGAATTCCCACCCGAATAGCATCCCGCTCCTCGGCAAAGCTAGCAACCACGTAGCCACGCTGCGCATAAGATGGCTGGCGGTTGATTGCTTGGATCTGGGGGAGATATTTTGATTCTCAAAAAATAGAGTCAAATATCAGATATACCGCAATTTTTGTAAAGTTTAAATCACCTCTCCCTCTTGCCCGAAAACCTGCTCAACCCTAGCGAAGCTCGTGCTCCCCACTCCCATATGGACTAGCAGGGTGTGTCTGAAAGTGGCCTATTCCTGCCATAATCCCGACAGTCAAAATGCCGACAGTTTCGGTTGTCGGCATTTTGGCTGTCGGAAATTTGGCCCGCCGACATTTTGACTTTCGGCATCTTTATTGTCGGCATTTTCCCCGCCGGTATGTCGCTTGTCGGCATTTTGGTGGTTAGCTTTCCGGTTAACTTTACGAGGAAGTTTTTTTGTCGGGCTGCGTCAAGCCTGGATGCGTCATGGCTGGCCGGAATTTCCGGAGCTTTAAGAGTTACGACTTACCCGGGTTGACGGGTGGAAAGACCGGCCATGGCCGAGACAAGGAATTCATCGAGAAGTTCGCCGTCTGTTTGAGGGGATTCTGTAAGCGCGGCTAAAGGGGGAGGAGAGAGAGATAGGGATAGCGGGAGATAAATAGAGAGAGAGAGAAAGAGAGAGGGAGAGTGAGAGAGAGAGAGAGATAGGGATAGCGAGCGATAAATAGAGAAAGAGAGAGAGAGAAAGAGAGAAAGAGAGAGAGAAAGAGAGAGAGAGAGAGAGAGAGAGAGAGAGAGAGAGAGAGAGAGAGAGGAGAGAGAGAGAGAGAGAGAGAGAGGGAGAGAGCTAAAATCTTACCACTAGCCAACAATTGTCCCCAATCCTCCTCGAATTCGAAATTCTGATCCGGGTCCGGCTCATTTTCCACATCCAGCGCCGAGAATCTAAATTCCCACAAAAATTACAAATTTCTCGAAACTGCAGCTTTTGAGTCTGGCCCTTTTTGGCTACTTTTAACGCTGACGGCATTGCCGTGGTGTTCAGCTGTGTGATAAATCAGGCGGTGTGTGATAGGGCAGTGTCTGGGCAACGCGCAAATATGATGTTTTCTTTTTGTGCGCTTTTAGAGCCCGGATTTGGTGATTTTTTTGGGGGGTTACCGACCGGCCGGTGACGAGCCATTGCTGGTATTCGAGCTCGCTCAGGTAATCGGAAGTCATTTGGGGGTTCTATAAAGTTTATAAACTTCTTAAAAAATAAAGAAATGATATAAACTTCACTAATAAATAATAATGTAGAATAATAAAACTTCAATAATACTAATAATAAACGATCAATATAAATTTAAAATCGATTAAGTTAAACTTCTGTAAAGTTTATGACTAAATTTTAGGCTCTTTGGCATTATCGGGGTGACCAAATTTTCCCCTATAAATCCAGAAATGCCTGGTAAAGGTCTTAATACTGTTTTTAGCCAATTTAAGTCTATTTGAAGTGGGAAAAACTCAACAAAACCTAGAAAAGAATTTAAATGAATTTTTTAGCTGAACTTTGGGTGGAAAAATTGGCATTTTTGACAATATATTATATTTCTATTTTTATGTATTTTTGAATGAAAATTTGTAGCGTTTTTACGTTTTGAAATGGTAAAGACGCTTAATTTAGATTAGAAACGCCTGTATTTTTGTTAGAAAAATTGAAAGCTAAGAAAAAGCCTCGATGAAGCCGCTGAATGAGTTTGCCCAAGTCGGGCAACATTATTTACCAAAACTGGGGGCGTGGCCCGGAGACAACAAATGTTGAGGCCCCGGGCTCCAGGCACTGAAAACAATCGGGTACATTCAGCCCCGGGGTGGGGCCGACCCAAAACACGGCTGAATCACGCCTGGCACGAATTTTTAGTCAGGGAATTTAACTTAAAAAATATTATTTAGGTATAGGCGGCAGGCTTGGCTTAGCTTAGGCTTAAGCATAGGCTTAAGCTTGGCTTCGGCTTTGGCTTAAGCTTAGGTTTGGCGTAGGCTTAGGCGTAGGCTTAGGCTTAGGTCTTTGTTTGGACAAACATTTGCTTTATTTGAAGCTAAAAACGGCTTAGAACACTCAGAAAAGTTTACATTTTTAAATTTCGATCAAATATCGGCCGTTTTGGTCGAAAAATCGGTATTTTTGCAGTTTTTAGGGGGGGAAGGGAAAAAAAAGGGGAGTGGCGTCGAAAAGGGGGGGCCCGGGGGGGGGGGGGCCCCGTCCCCCGGGGGGGGGGGGGGGGCCCGGGGTTTTTTTGGTCGGGTTTTTCCCCCTCTCTGGGCGGGTTTGGGGTGTGGGGGGTCCAAAAAAATTAAAAAAAAAAAAAAAAAAATCCCTCCCCCCCCGCCCTTTTCCTTGGGGGGGGGGGGGGCCCGGGCCCCCCCCCCCCCCCCCCCCCCCCCCCCCCCCCTCTTTTTGTTTTTTTATATTTTAAAAAAATAAATAAAAAAAAAAAAAAAAAAAAAAAAAAAAAAAAAAAAAATGGGGGAAGGGGGGGGGGGGGGGGGGGGGGGGGGGGGGGGGGGGGGGGGGGGGGGGGGGGGGGTGGCCTCCGGGGGGGGGCTTTTTTTTTTTTTTTTAAATGTTTAATTTTTAAAATATTTTTTTTTTTTAAAAATTTTTGTTTTTTTTTTTTTTTTTTTGGTGTTTGGGGTGTTGGTGTTTGGTTTGTTTGGTGTCCCTTTCCGTTTGTTTTGTTTTGGGGGGGGGGGGGGGGGAGAAGAAGAGAAAGAAAGAAAAAAAAAAAAAAAAAAAAATGGAGGGGGGTTGGGGAAATTTAAAAAGGGGTGGAGAAATTAGGGAAAAAAAGGGTTTCAAAAAAAAAGGGGGGGGGAAAAGGCGGGGGGAGGCCCCGGGGGCGGCGGGGGGTTTTGGGGGGGCTGGAAAAAAGGGGGGGGGGGGGGGGGTCGGGGGGCCCCCAGGCCCCGGTCCTTTAATAACAAAAATATTGGGTTTAAACCTAGGAATAGTGAAAACAGTTCCTATATCTCAGAAAAATTCATTTAGAAAATTCACAAAATTTAATTTTTTTTTGATTTTATTGGCTTTATGTTAAAGAATCGTAAAGTAGAGCCTAAGCCGAAGCATAAGCCCGTTAACGTAAAATCACTTAAAAACAATACTTTATTTTAATAACATTAAATTTCCAGGTGCTCGAGTACATCCGACTGCCGCTGTGCGATCCCAAATTTTTGGTGTCTGTCGTCTCGGAGGATCCGCTGGTGAAAGCCGACCCTGCCGCTCGAGATCTGGTAGATGAAGCCAAGGTAATCAATTAATTCTCTAAATTTTACGTATCAAATTTAGTAGGATAACTCAAAACTTTAATTTCAGAACTACCTGCTCCTCCCCCTCGAACGGGCCCATATGCAGGGCCCGCGGACGCGGCTACGACGGGCCGCGTACTGCGGCGAAGTGCTGTACTCGGGTGTGTAACGTATCTTATCAAAACGTATACATCATGAATTCCTGCGCCTCGACATTGCCTAACGGTGCTGACGGGTCAACGGCCCAATAACAATGATTTGTGATAAGGGCGCGTTTCGTAAGTGAGGGGGTACGAGGTGTACCCGGAAATAAAAAGGAAAATAATTCACTCCCCCCCCCGATAATGCGAAAGCGCCTTTTTCATGGTTACGATTCAAGGAAGTAAAATATCGAGTAATTATGATACAAGAATTTTCAGTTGGAGGATGGTGTTGCGGAGAAGCAATTAAACACGTCGAACGCATGAACCCCAACCAGCGACAGCCAAAGTGGGAGCAGGTAGCCCCGATGAAGAAGCCGAGGTGAGCAGCTGATTAGGCTTGGGCTTGGGCTTAGGCTTAGGGTGCTTATGCTTAGGCTTGGGTTAGGCTTGGGCTTAGTCTTAGGTCTAGGCTTGGGCTTGGCTTATGCTTAGACCCAGGCAAAACCAAATACACGTTCAATTTTAGGTGCGGCGTCGGCGTCGCCGTCTTGAATGGGCTGCTGTATGCCGTCGGAGGACACGATGGCGTTGCGTATCTCAACTGCGTCGAAAGGTGACTACGAAGTTTACTATAAACATTTCAAACCTAAAAAAATTGCTAAAAAAGACTATAAATCTAATTTTTCAGATACGATCCCGCGACGAATCAATGGGACAACACTGTCGCCCCAACAACCTCGTCCCGAACATCGGTTGGCGTGGCGGTGCTGAACCGTCCGTTTTTTTTAGGCTTGGAAAGCTTCTAAATAACAAGAATGTGATTTTTAGAGCCAAATTTACAAAACACCACAAAATTTAGGCTGTCTTTACGCCGTCGGGGGCCAAGATGGCGTCAGCTGCCTGGATTTGGTCGAAAAGTAAAAACTAACGCAGAAAGAAAAAAACTAAACTTTCCTAGATACGATGCTCGCGACAATAAATGGACCCAGGTGGCCAGCATGGGAACGAGGAGGCTTGGCGTCTCGGTTTCGGTGCTCAAGGGATGTCTTTATGCCATCGGAGGTTCAGACGGGCAAAACCCGCTACGAACTGTTGAACGGTAGGCGATATAAAGTTATACCAACCAGAAAACTACAACTATATAACTATTTAATGTCATATTTTAATTGAAAACCAGCTAGGAAACGACAATAAACTAGCTAATTTCAGCTACGACCCCCGGACCAATAAATGGACGTCCGTGCAGCCTATGAATGTCCCTAGAAAACATCTCGGAACTGCTGTGTTTGATGGGAAGCTGTATGCGGTAGGTCGACCTCCGAAAGCCTAAAAACAGCAAGCTCAGGTCGGCGGGCGAGACGATAAGCTGGAGCTTGATTCGGCGGAATACTACGATCCCATTACGAACGAGTGGCGCTTCATCGTCGCCATGCAGAGCCGACGATCTGGGGTAATGAATTAATTAAGTCTGCATACATAACAATTATCAAATTTAGGTTGGCCTTTCGGTGAGCAAAAACAAGCTCTACGCCGCCGGCGGGTTCGACGGGAACTCTTATCTGAAATCTGTTGAGGTGGAGGACATCGAACTTTACTTATTAATAACTATTTTCAGGTCTACGATCCACAGGAGATGTCCTGGCGCTTCCACAGCAACATGAATTTTCGCAGATTGGGCGGTGGGGCCGGTAGGGAGAACTTTTACAGGAGACTTTCCGAACTTTTTAGCGACTATCCCGATGCTGAACGTGCAGGAAGATAAAGTCAAAGAGCAGCAGGAGACAAGCGAATCGGGGGAATCGCCAGAAGTCGAGAAACGTGAAATGGAGGACAATGTCGGATAGTGCTAATCATTGCCAAAAACTTGTAAACTTTTCGGGTGCCCATAAAAGCCTTTTTGCCGCAATAAACTCTTTAAATGGGATTGTCGATCTAATACACAAACACGCACCTAAAAATAAATTTTCTAATGCCGAAAATATTTTATTTTTTTATTATTCTCCTTTGTTTTATTGTATTTTTCAATGGCGAAAAGGCGGCGGGCCCGCCGTGACATTTGGTTGCGTAAAGTTGGGTGGGCTACACGGCACTCCAAAAGACGGAACGATGCCGTGGCTCTCCCCATCACGGCGTTTAGGCCTCCCGTTTTCGCGTTCTGAATTTTTTCACGCGGGGTCTGAATTCATGCCAGTGGTTTTCGCATTCGGGTTTACTATAACTAAATGCCGAATCGAAAACTACTTCTAAAGTTTCCCCCTTTCCTCCGTGTACATGATAAATTTCGTGTCTTCTTGCCTCCCTCGTTTCTTGCCCATCACATCTTTCGTTTTTAGTTACTTGGAAGAATGCTGATTCCCAAATCACACCGGCGCGCAATCTACGAATACCTCTTCAACGAGGGAGTCACCGTCGCCGCCAAGGACCCCAATGCCAAGACGCACCCGAACATCGAAGGAGTCACAAATCTCGAGGTCATGATGGCCATGAAGGTAACTTATTTTTTTTTGGAATTTACTCTGGTTCGTGCATGAATCCCGCATACCGCTGCCCGAAACAATACGGGGCGTGGCGACTTATTGGTAGAACTTTTGCGTAGTGGCGCTTTTTTGCAAGTACCACTTTCGAAGCTAGTGTTCGTTTTTTCGCCTGTCGGGCAGGTCTGTTTGAAGTGCAGATAGAGTGAAGAATGGATTGAGTTAACTTTCAACACCACGGCTATTTTACTGGGTGCTTTAGTTTTTACCACGAATCGCTGTCTCAAATCATTCATTGATGATGTTTGGCTAGTTTGGGGGCCCTTTACTCGCACTTGGCCTTCTTTCATTGCCTAGAGTATATTTTCACTTTTCAGAGCTTGGCCTCGCGAGAGTTGGTGAAGCAGCAGTTCGCCTGGCGCCACTACTACTGGTATTTGACCAACGAGGGCATCACCTACCTCCGCGAATACCTGAACCTGCCAGAAGGAGTCGTGCCCGCTACAGTCAAGAACAAGGCCAAGGAGCCCCGATTGCCGCTCGGAGACCGCCCGTCCCGACCAGGTTTGTCACTTTCTCGGATTAGCCTTGCTTGTTTCTTTTCTGTGTGTATCTTATTCCTTTTAGGCCCGAAGGCCGAGGGAGATCGTGATGCCTACAGGACGACCGAGAAGCAGACTGATGCCGGACCCGGAGCTGCCCCCGTTTACCGAGCCGGATTCGGACGTGGCGGCCCTGCACCTCAGTAATTCTTTATTTCATAAATTGTTGTTTTTGCTTACCGTACATAAATTTTTGTTACTGTCGCGATCGCCATTTGAAACAAATATAAAACTTTGAAGTGCTTTGAGATCACAATTCACACCCAAACAGATATACGCATATAATTAGAGATACAGCTGCTTTTATTGGCTTGATGCTGGCGGGTGTTTTGTTTGCTCTTGAGGTCTCGAGGTAGTCCTTGCCTTCCCAGGCACCGTGAAATTGTAGCTATTGCCCTGTTTTCAATGTGCTTCTGGGCGAGGGGGCTGAAGTGGTGACGACCCGTGGTGGAGAGGGTGCCGTCGGCAGGGGATCGATCGGCCCGAAGGCAGCCCCACCCCTTCTCCGCTTCTTTGGGGCCGGGCGAAAAATACGCATTCCCGTCTCGGGCACGCATTGGGATCAGCCCGTAAATGACTACCAAATATCTAACCCATATTGCCAGCCTCCTTGATTGAATGCATTTTTGCCTTTCATCGTTGTCCATTTTATTGGATTCGGCCGTGGTGCTCCGGTGTGCCCTCATCAACACAGATTAGCCAATTGGCAAATTGGGGTCCCCAAAGGACCTGGGCCGACGAGTGTAGCTGGCTCTTTCCATGCTTTCCATTGTTTTTGTTGTAGAATTTTTGGTTCTTTGACCTAACTCTAGATTCCCTAGGGTCGGCAGCATGGCCGATTATGACTATTTGATAAAGTTTCTCGCACTTGGGGACTCGGGAGTCGGAAAGACGTCGTTTTTGGTAAGTTTTTACCAATTTTTGGTAGGCGGTGTGGGGATTTTTGTAATCCGAATCCGAAATTTTGGTTTGGGTGACGTTGAGCGGCTGATTTTAGAGGCTTATTTTATAGCGTTTTTGTTGGATTATGTTCAGGGCGATAAGCCAGTCACACCGGCCCCCCACACGCCTGGGGTTTAGGAATGTGAGCCGGAAACTGGCCCAGAAAATCGACAGCTTTGGAAATCAATCGAAAAAGAAACTTTCAGCACCGATACACAGACAACACGTTCACGGGTCAGTTCATATCAACGGTAGGCATCGATTTCAAGGAGAAGAAAGTGGTAGGTGCCGGATTCAACTCGGTCAGTGCCCTTTGTAGGTGTACAAATCAGCGCGCGGCGGTTTCGGCGGACGGGGGCAACGGGTGCTCTTGCAGCTATGGGATACCGCCGGGCAGGAGAGGTTAGTGATTTAGTAGCAGTAGTAGAAGATACTATATTACTTCAGATTCCGCTCGTTGACGACGGCCTTTTTCCGGGACGCGATGGGCTTCATCCTGATCTTCGACATCACCAACGAGCAGTCGTTTTTGAACATTCGAGACTGGCTTTCACAGTTGAAGGTGCGTGTGGTTCATGATGGATTTTTCTGTAGTAATTAGATGAAATGCCGAAGAATTGGAACGCCGCCAAATCTCTTTTTTAGGTTTTAGGTCCGAAAAACTCCTTTTCCGGACCTAAAACACGACTTTTTCGAATTTTTCAAGCATTTTTTTGAAATTTTGAGACGTTTTTGATTGCAATTTATTGTAATTTCACGAATATCAATACAAAAAAATTTGTATTGATTTCCTTAGGCCACACTGGAGGGCTTTAACTTTACAATTTTACATTTTTTTCAGGTGCACGCCTATTGCGAAACGCCAGATATCATCATCTGCGGAAATAAGGTAAGTGGAATATTCCGGAAATCCCCCTTCTAATCGTTATAACTCATGTTCTCCCCATTTCCAGGCAGACCTGGAGAACCGACGACAGGTGAGCACAGCACGAGCCAAGCAGCTGGCCGATCAGTTGGGGTGAGCACGAGTTTAATAGTTTAAATATTGGCAAAAGCGTTTAAAATCGATTTTTCTGCAGACTGCCCTACTTCGAGACGTCGGCGTGCACGTCGACGAACGTCGAGCGGGCCGTGGATTGTTTGCTGGACCTGGTGATGCAGCGCATTCAGCAGAGCGTCGAGACAAGTGGTGCGTTTTTGGGGTTTTCTTTATCTAGAGCTTCAACCCTGGCTTTATCACGGTGTCTTGGATATTCCAAGGATTCACAGGAGATTTTTTTAACTTTTTAAAGGACCGGGGCCTTGGCATTGGCACGGGGTAACGGTTTCGATTTTTGTCAAATAAATAATAGATGTATTTGTAGATTTTTAACTACTAAGAGAACGATAAGACTGGCAATTTTTAACCCAAAAAATTCATATTTGGGTGGAAAAGGCGATTTTTCGGCCCAAAATGATGAAAATTCGGGATTTTTCGATCGTCTTTCTAATTTTTTTACAATTTTATTGCAGATCTAGTTAAATTTTACGATGAATTTAAGGTGACTTTTTTTTTTCCATATTTTTTTAAAAAAAGGGATTTTCTTTTGGAAAAAATAACTTTTTTAAACACTGATTCCCGGAAATATGGCATTTTTTCTGGCGAATTTTTGTAGTTTATCATAAATTGCTTTTTGTTTTAACCTTATTAATTTTAAAAGGTAAAGAGTAAAATTTTATAAGTTAAGTGTTAGTTTAGTTCAATTTTAAAGAATTTTTAGCGTAAGCTAGTTTTAAGTTAAATTTTTTATTTCAGCTTTAATTTTTGTCCAATTAAACTTAATGCTGACGATTTTCAGGGCTACCCCTATCCGAGTGCCGTGGCGTGTCGCTCGACGCCGAAAATCCGCCGGCCGCCGGCTACTGTGCCAATTGCTAGCCCTCGATTTTTCCATTGTTCATTCCATATCTGCTCTCCCCCAATTTCATTGCCTAATTGCTTTCCTCTCCTCCTCCTCCTCCTGGTCCATTTCGGTGTTACGCATCTCGTCAATTATTCCGCAAATTGCCTGTGAACGGATATCATCTAGGATATTCACATTATTGTTGTGGGGCGCCAGCCATTTTTAGTTTAAAGGGGCGGGCAAGCTGGGCCATTTTTCTAATTTTTAAAGGTATAGTTAGAAAACGCGATTCTACAATGTTTTCTGCAATATTTAAACGTAAAATTTTAGAAATTGTTACTCAAAAAATAAAAATTTGCTATTTTTATCAAAATTTGGATTTTTAAGGTTTTTTGGACCATTTTTCCGCTTTTAATACAGATAATTTTAGCAAAAATATTATTAAGATTCCACTATTTCGACCGATAGCCCCGATTTTATATTACGTAATCGAATAGACCCGTGCTGCCTTTTGGCGACAAAGCTAAATCTATAGAAAATCAACGGCCAAACCTCGCCCGCCCCTTTAAAGCCCTGAAAATCTTTTTTTCGTAAATTTTTAGCCCTGTCCTGTAATACAGCGCATTTCACTTTTCATCAACTGTGTTTACGCCTAGAACCGGAAGCGCTTAGGGCGAGAATTTTCCCCCAAGAGCCCCGCTAGCCTGCTACATCTCGGAACTTTACCCTCTCCCAATTACACCCCCGAGCTGCCAAAACACTGTGTTTTTCTGTGAGTCTCTGGTTCTGGTTCATTAGCGGGGGGAGCGTTAGCCCACAAAACAATAAAAAAGAATTTGTAACAGTGTTTGGAATAGTTTCCGTTTACTAAAAAGTTTAAAAACATCAAAAAAAATAGTTTTCATATATTTCGACCAAAAAATAGAAAATTTCTTGTAATTTGAATGCTTTTTATAGCGTATACTTATACTTAAAAATGGTATAAAGAGCTACAGAAATGGTGTGTGTTTAATTTTTTTGGGGACTTGCTATAGACGGAAGTTAACCACCCCCACCCCCCCCCCGCTAAGAGGCCAGAACCGTTTTTCTGTGTTTCTCTCACAATCTCTCACTCTCACTCTCTCACTCTCTCTCCCCCAGAATTGTTGCAAAATTGCAAAAAGTGGTGTTTATTTGTAAATACACTGTGCGATATGGAGTGGCGAGAATGGGTCAGCACGGCAACATATGAGAGATCAATTCGGAGGAGCTAGGGGGTACGGTAGCAGAAAAGATTACATACAAATCTTCGAAATTCATATTTCCGAGAGTCAGTTTTCGAAATACAAAAATTTTGGGAAAAAGTTGGGTTCTTTTGCATTATCGCGGGGGGCGGGGATTTCTTCCTATAAACCCTCGAAATGCCTAGTAACATTTTTAGGAAAATTTGACTAGATTTCAAGTGAAAACACTGCCTAAAATTAGCATTTTAAACAGTCTGAAATCACCCAGTCTTTGTCGAAAAACCGACATTTTACTATTTTACACAAAAAATTCTGTAGTTTTCTACGTTTAGAAATAATAGTGATTGTTTAGGTACGCTGTCCTAAATTCTATTAGAAAAATTGGACGGAAAGAGAACCCCCCCGATAATGCCAAAGCACCGGAATGGCCGATCTAGGCGAGAAATAGCAATGTAAACTTTTCGAAACGGTTTTCGAAACGCTTTCCAAAAGTATGACTTCAGAAAGATAAATTTACATAATTAGGAATAGAAAAAATGATGCACCGGCACGGAATGTACAAAGGAATACTGACTGCAGATGGAGAAATAGAGAAATACAGGGTGTCCGAAAAAGCACACCCTCTAGCCGGCTGCAGTCGTGTCCGATTTTGACGATTTAGGTATCTATTGGAAGCTCTCGGCAAGGCGACTCCAGCACGTCTCACCGATAATCGGAATTTCAAATGTTTCGCTCGATTTTCGGCATTTTTCATGCAAAAAGGACCCACCTTTTGGTCAGAAACTCTATTTGACCGGTTTAGGCCACAAATTTTTTCGCCAACGGCTTAAAACTTCGTGGGCTGCGGAAAAGCCAAAAACCCTAAAATTTGGTGACCCGCGGGAAAAACGTCAGAAGATCGGCATTTTCCGCATAAATACTAGTAAATGTTAGAAAAATTGGAATAAAAAAGGAAAAGGAGTAAAAAAGAGCGGGGTTCCGTGCTGGACTCGCCTTTCCGAGAGCTTTCGGTAGATACCAAAATCGCAAAAATCGGACATGTCTGCGGCCCGCTAGGTAGGGGGAGATTTTTTGGGACACCCTGTAGTAGAGATCG